TTGATGAATGGTTCAATTTAGTTCAAGGCCTATTTCTAAGAGTTTAGGGACATATGTAGATGATAAATTTCAAGTGCATTGTGTCCTAGAGCCATTTACCAAATTATGGCAACAAAGGCTTTAAAGATGAAAAATTAATTTCAATGCCTTTTCCTTTACTTTCTAGAGACCAAAATAAATATAATGATTAATGTGCATGGTCCTAGAATTTCTAGCTTAAAAAATGAGTTCTTTCAAAGCTTATCAAGCTTGAACTAACTCTTTCTTAGCAAAGACTTCATATAACAATATATATAAATGAAGTTTCTAGTCTATTGCTAATGGTCATAGGAGCATATGAATGATGTATGATATGCATGATCCTATAATTTTGAGCTTCAAAATATATTCAAATATACTTTGACATTAAATCTTAAGCTCTCACCATCCTATCTATCCTTTTCTTCATTCTTTAACCATGATCGTTTAGGCTTGATGAAGACTTACTTTGTTTCTTTGAAATGCTTTGTGTGATCTTTGAAGTCCGAGTTTTTCTTTGATTTCTTGCACTTTGAGGCTTCCTTGAATCCATAGCTTGAGTATTTGGAATGGATCTTCTAGCTCAACATTGATGTTTGAATCTTGATCAACTATATATCACTCAATGAAAATATTAGTACTTAAACATCATTAATGGTTTGTAATCATCAAAATATAAGATTGACCTTTAGATAAAATCCTTAGATCAACACTTTACCCTTGTTTCTTTAAAAAGAAAGCTCGTTAATTACAAAGCATCACTTTATAATATGTGTTCTGGAGTTGCTTTTGGTTTGGTTTTGTTTCTTTCAGACTTAATTTTGATGAGGAGAAGTTTTCATTTCATTTGAATGCAAAGTTGACTTTTTGTGATGAAGGTTTCGTGTTTTATTTTTGGGGAAGTTTAATTTTCAACTTTTCTGCTCCTTATTTTGTTAAGTGAGACCCATAAAGTGAAAATTAAATTTATTAGATGACTTAATGCTCTCACACCTATGAGGTTTCAGTTTATTGCCCTCATAGTAAACCTCAACCAATTTTGCTCTCACACCCCCTTTCTAAAGTATGAAAGAAGTAAGTTTACTATTATACCATTGGCTTTATTTAACATATATCTAAGCAAGTAGTGAAATGACAATATTACCACCTTCTACTGTTCTGAAACTTCATCGTCTTCATGTTCCTTTAATTTTCCCAGCACTCTCTTGCTCTCTCTAGAATTCCACCCGTTTTCTCTCTCTAAAATGGCTCCCAAGGCCGATAAGAATACAAGAAGTTGCCAAAGGAGGCGACGTCTTAGGAGAAGAAGAAGTGCCGCAAAGGAACTGCGGCACTGCACCGGCGAGACAGAATCAGCCGGTAAGGGGGAATTGAATCGGCTGTGAGCTTGCTGCGGTGGTCGGAACAGTGAGTTCGGCTGACTTGCGCGCGGCGGCTCAGATGGAGCCGGTCAGATTGGTATATCCGGCGAGCACACAAACGAGTTTGGCGATGTGACAGAATCGGCGAGGACTGAAAGGCAGAGAGCTCAGCTTTAGATGATGGTGGCCGATGAGCAAGAGAGAGCTCGGTGATGAGTTCGGCTGCCAACAACACCAGCAATGTATGCGCTAACCGGCGAAACGGGGCTAATCAAGGTGATGCACAATGGCGGTGAAAGAAAAACTCGACGGTGGATGGTCAATGGTGACGCCGGCGAAAACTAGTTTCTACAGCCACTGTACTGCACAATTTTAAATCCACTGTATTGCACAATTTTAATCAAATTTTATTGCTTAACAGGATATTTGGTTTAGGGTGAGAAAGTGAGTGCTTCCAATAGTGCAGAAGAAAGAGGGGAAACGAGTTGAGGGTAAAAAAGTCTAAGAAAAAAAATGTATACGAAATAAAGGAGGGTAATTTAGGTATTTTATTTTATTATTTTTAAAATAAAGGTGTGAGAGCAAATTAAACCAAACTTCATGGGAGTGTATTAACAAAATTGGCTGGAGTTTAATATGAGAGTAATAAATTGAAACATGTCCCCAACCACCGCCTCCTAAACCAAGCCCTTAGGGTCAGTTTGGTGCAATAGAAATGGGAGGAAAGGGAAGGAAATGTGATAGAGGGGGATAAAAATTTTGTGTTTGACAAAAATTGTTGGAAGGAAAGGGAAGGGTTTGGAGGGTTAACACAAGGCCTGAATAGTATTTTGCTTATCCTCCCAAAAATGGGAGGAAAAGGAAGGAAAGGGAAGGGGAGAGTTAGTATATTATTTGTGAGGCCTAATTTGCCCTCAAGATTGTATATACATACAAGTTAGCAGTTGCAGAGAGAGTGAGAGACGGTGGGCCAGCGGTTGAAGCTTGCGAACGGCGAACCTGAACTGGAACAACGGCGATGGAAACTGAAAGATATGGGTTTTGATTTTCTGAACAATCTGAAATGATATACCGATACGGGTTTTGAACTTTTGATTCTTGCAGACAGATAGATAAACTGAAATATATGGGTTTTGAACTTTTGATTCCTACAGACAGATAGATAAACTGAAATATATGGGTTTTGAACTTCTGATTCTTATAGTGCAAAGAGAGAGAGAGAGAGAGAGAGAGAGAGGGGGGGGGGGGCAAGTTCAGAGTTGAGAACGAGATTAGAAACGGAGGCGAGATTGGGGAGACTGAAATGATTTGCCCTAAAAAAAAAAAATTCTTTTCTTTTCTTGTAGCCCGTCATCTATGGGCCTGGTATAGGAGACAATATATATATATATATATATATATATATATATGTTTTAAAATATAAAAAAGTATAATAGTCAATTTATTAAAATAGTTCTCTTTCCTTTCTTTTCCTTTCTCTTTTCCAAACATGATTATTATTCTTCCCTTTCTTTTCCTTCATTCATCAATCAAACATAATAGGAGGTTAAAATTATCCTTCCCTTCCTTTTCCTTCCCTTTATTTCATAATTAATGTTATCATTTCTATTCAAACCCACCGTACTAAACATAGCCTTAGTGAAAGTCCCCTGGAGCTCAAGATTTCATCACTCTAGGTGTAAGAGCATTTATCCCTTTATTTATATATATATATATATATATATATATATTGTAATATTTAATGAATTTAATTTTTACTTTATGAGTTCCACAATTTATATTATTATATATATATACACACGAAAGTTGTACGTATAAATTGATATTTTGATAAATATGAATTTAACTTAAATGTCAAGCCAGTTATTTTACCCTTCAATAAATTAATCCAGTAAGAGAGTAAATGGAAAGAATTTTTTTCCCACATATATATATATATATAATATATGTGTATATGTATGAAAATCATCAATTCAATCAATGCACGTAAAACATGCTAGTGCTTTCGTTTATTTATTTATTTATTTTTTTAAACGACTTCCTTATGCAATTTGCATTTTTAAACACTTCTTACGCTATTCCCAAACACAAACCAATCACCATGTGAATATGTGATATACATTTTGGTGATTCTTACGAATCTCGAACCAGCCAGAGTACAATATCATTTTGATCACGTGGGATAGGTATGTAATGGGTTTGTCACTGCTGCTTTCTGATTTGGTTTCAAAATTTTAGACCACATACTGATCTTCATATTTTTATTTAGAAAATTTGTTTAGTCCCCCAATTAAACAACTCCTGTTTTGACGGACTGATTTAATATGAGTGGGGATGAAAGTTATGAATCGTTCACAATGAATAAGGGTAACTTTGAATTTACAAAGTTGAAGATATTCATAGAAAATTTTGATAAATTATTGATAGCAGTATATGTATTTATAAATAAATAATCCTAACATCATAAGAACCCTGGAAATATAAAGAAACTAGCCTTGTGAGAAACTACTCAAAATCGAACTTTTCTCGTAAAAATAAAGTAAGAAATCTAATTGCTAGAAATTACTAAATACTAAAAAGAAAGAAAGTTGTTCGACTCCCTTTAAACTTCAAACGAAAATTTTGAAATATTCAAAATTGAGGAAACGCTATTGCCGCGAAGTATAAAGTTCAAAATTGAGAAAACTTTGCATACATGAATTCCGTATTGAACTTTATTTAGGCAAAGTTTGAGGTATTCATATTTGGATGGGAAAGAGTTCACCCGATCTGGACTTGGGCTACGTACAATCTCTTGGCCACTCTTTTGGTCATCCAGCCATGTTGCTTATGGATACGATAGGCTTTTGTCTTCGTATCTTGTATCTTTGGGCGCTCCAACTAAATTTGGGCTGTACTTGACCAATGGGCTTTTCGCAGCTTCTTCTTGACCAGTCCTCTACTGTACATTTTACTATCTATACAACTTTTTTGACTTCCCCAGGGAATTTTTTTTTGTTTTGAGTTATTCAAAAAACAATTATTATTGGTCTCCACCATGATTTTTATAGGGACTTTCTGATTGCTATGGCCTCACCTGATATTGGTCTTTTGCCAACAAGAGTTCTCGAAACCTTGACTTAGATTTGACTTAGATTTTGAGAGTTAAGACCCTGAGTCACTAAAACAAACCGTGACTTTTTTTAAATTATTTAACCTCAGTTACATGGAATGTTTGATTGGACCCAAGAGGGGACAGTAGCCCTTCGGGCCTCAGCCGCCCACTACCAGAGAATATCAACAGCATGTTTACTTCAATCCAAGAACTACCAATAAATCAAAACCATATCGGACGATCAGGAAGTTCATATCCGACAACCAAACTTCATCTTCACAAATTTTGTGTTCACTACTAGTTCAGTTTTCAAAATACTTGAATTAAGATTCCATGCAAACATGGAGAAAAACTTCCTTTCACAACGGGCGCATCCAGACCATCCGTGTAATAGGTCATGAACGGTTGGATGCCGTTGGAAGTTTTTCTTGTAAACATCATAAATGCATATCTCAAAAAATTCAAGTACCAGAAGGAAAAAGACACTCTTAGACAAACACAAACATTAATTACTTGTGAAGGAACTATAAAATATAAAATATTTGAAGTATCGAAAACTTCTGAATAAATGATGGAACCAATTGTCAAAATACAAATTAGAAAAGAAAACCGAAGGGAAATTTTGTTATAAAAAACAAAACAAAACAAAAAGAAATATCCAGTTTGCACATACTTCATGGCAGAGAAACAAAGGGTCTTTTACAGCAATTATCAATCTGCAGAGAGAAGCTTATAAACCAGAAAATCCAATTAAATGTCACAAATGAACCACGGTAACACTAAAAGGAGCCTAGATGACAGTTTCTGGGAGTTGCATAGCCCCCTCATCCATCATAATGTAGGTGCAAGTATATGCAGTTTTGTCTTTCTGCTCTGGAAATGATTTTCCGTTCTAAGTTATTCACGATGAATAACAGTCATTTGCCCTCTTAACCTATAGCCTTAGGTTGCAATATGTGCATAAGCGACCACAGTATATCCATCCTATGCATGCTTCTGTTGTTCTGGCCCTGCGATAATAATCATATTAAGACTTATCAAGATTAATTAATAAACAATATATTAGCAATTCGACCATTGAGGAAGGATGTAAAAATCTGGGGGTTTACAGTCCAAATGCTAGCCACCGATGCTCATATATTGAAAAGTTTGTTTTAGCGGTTTTATTCTTATATCACCAAGACTGATATCGGTAAACATTATTCAAAGTCCCATACCATCTAATAAATTCTTTTAAAATCAAAGCTTTTTAAATGAATTTCTGTAAACATGACATGCGGAGCAGAGATCCAATGGTTGGTTCAGCTAGGCCGTAGGCTCTACTCTGATAATAATACAAACCAGTAAACTGAATACATATGAACTTCCATATATTACAATATATTTTGTTTTCATATAGAAAATAATTAAAATAAACCCAAGTTGTTGGGATAAGGCTTACTTGAATTGAGCATAGGAAATAATCAAGACAGCTTTTCCCATGGTAGTATATGTATGGCATAATGCATTAATCTCCATCATGCAGTGAAAGAAAATAATAACATCCATGACGCATATAAATGTTTTGAACACTTGTTCAACTTGCCATACGAAAATACAAAATATACTAAAATGTAATCTAAAGGAACTGGTAAAGAAGACAAGTGTAAATTTTGTTCCTTACAAATCCTGATCTCATCCGTAATTAGGACGAAATCATGTAACTCTTGTTCCTTAATAAGATATCGAGGACGAAAACATGTAAATTTGTGATTTGGATTGTACCTCAACCACAAAACGCATCCAGGTTCTCTTGCCATAGGCTTCTGTTACACCTTTCAAAATTGTCAGACCCAAATTCTTGATAGCATCTGCTATCTCAAGAAAAAGGCTGCATTCCTCACACAACATCTGCATGGATCAGGCAGAAAACTTGAATAACTGGGAATAAAAAGCAATATAGGGGCTTAAATTGTGAGTAACATATTCTAACTCTAATTCCTCGTGTCTTTTTGGATGGTTTCTCATTTCCTTTTTTTCTCAATTTAAATCTGGAGGAACTATAATTGCTCCCATCTTTGAGTTCTACTATATTTTCAATTCTCATTAGTATCATAAAATTTGATTATCTATCAAGTCCATACCTCTATAAGCATCTGCCCATTCAAATTAATATTTTCTACCACTATAGGAACTTTCAGGTGACTCCCCACTTCCACGGCCCAGCTTGAACCCTGCACATTATTGGATAATCTCTGTATACCACTTTCCTTATCTCGTAACTGCAGAATCAGAAGTTGGATGTAAATTATTAGGAGAATCATAACTTCAGTCGATAAATCTGGTCATTACATCTAATTGATGCATATCAACCAAATTCAAGTTCTCATAGCACTTAGTTGCAACATGTTCCAAAACAAACCCTTAGGAAAAATATAATATTTTCAATGTCAACAATGTCTCATGAACCTACCCATGGCAATTAACAGCTTATAAAAACTTGGCATATAAAAGTATCAAAAGGAAGAAAACTAACTGATTCAGGTCACTAGCAAGATTCATATCTTTCAACCTGACTTTTCAAATGAATTTATATTTGTGTTCCCAAAAAAATACACCTATATATATGACGGGGCTTAAACTAACTGATTCAGGTCACTGGTAAGATTCATATCTTTCAACCTGACTTTTCAAATGAATTTATATCTGCGTTCCCAAAAAATTACAATTATATGTATGATGGGGCTTGACAAAGATAATAATCTACCCAACTGAACCATGTTAGACTGAACAACAAAAGAACCCTAACCAAATGAATGCCAAAGCCTTACCTTTGATTCAGCACATTTATTTAGCTTCTCAGCATGTGTAGTCATGCTTTGCAGAAACAGCGTGTGCTTGATTGTACGCTCTAGAAGTGAATCAATACTGCACTGTGTAATTATCCAGAGATGTCAGCACATGCTATATATAAAGAGGAAAACAACTGCAACACAAGACCAAACTCAGCAGGAATAATGGACTGTCGAAGTTACCTTTGATCCATTGGGCACAAGCTCTCGCAGCTCCTTAATGCGATCCTGGATCAATTGTCTGTCCCTTGGCCTGGGCCTACAATTTTCACCAGATTTAGCACCCCTTTTTTTGTTATTAGCCAGTCTTTGTGGCCTCTCTAACTGTTCAAGGCATGTACCGTGACTCGTGGACAAAAGGCCTTTTGAAGACCCGACACCATATGCATCTGAGGAGTTCAAGCATTGCCAAGAGTCCTCTACAAGAGATTGATCAAATGAATTACCCGCTGAATCAAAAGTATCCTTATCACAGGTTGGTTCTGGCATCTTTTCAGTTGTCAACAGGGACTGTACTGGTTTACAGAATGATTTCTCACTTTTAACATCACTACCACGGCAGCAAACACTAGCCACTACTGCTTCTAGAAGATGCTCTGAGCCAGAGTCAGTTGTCAACAGGCTACTACTGGTCATTCCCTCTGGCATCTCAATAGCTGCTTCAGCTTCAGTCTTTTCTACCTCCCAATCACAGTAGGTATTTTGTTTTCTAAAAGCTGGCCCAAGGGCTTCATACAGCTCACTGCCAGCAGAAAAATTGGAAGGCTTGTTCAGTTTGCCCATATCATTGAACTCTGGTAAGTTCTTCTCTGAATCTTTTTGGATTTCCAAGTTGAAAGGTTCTGCCAAAGACAACACTTCATTTCGATTATTCCAAGTGGCAGAATCGAGGAGTAGATCTGAAGGGAAGTACATAAAGTCTACCCCAGAATTATCAGCAGAAGGGGTATATAAATCAGCTTTGTCATTAAAGTAATTACGTGAGGATGAAGTATCGTTGCCTTCTGAACCTACTTGTATATCCCTAAAGCCACTAATCTTCCCTTCACACTCATTATCAATAATCATTTTCGTCTGTAACTGCTTCTGCCGCTCATTAAGGAAAATTTCGTATCTAGATTGAAGTAAGGTGGCACTTTCACAACCCCCTGGTGTTGATAACTGAAGCTCTCCATGCTTATTGATCAGTTCAACTGTCTTTTTCGAATAACCACCAGGCAGTGGAACAACGTAAGAATTGTTACTAGATTTTCCAAGAGATGAAAACATGGGAGAGCAAATATTTGTCTTTTCCTTGCTCATGGTTTTATCTAGGTTGTGTATGCAATCATAAGAACTCCCAAAAGAACTTCTTGTAGATATATCTGACTGGAAAAATAAGATAAAAAAGAACCAAATAAACAAACATAAGACAAGAAAAAAAAAAAAAAAAAACAAACAAACAAACAAACAAACAAACAAACTTACTTTAAGATGCTTACATATCAAAATTTTATGTGATTGTGTATATGTGCGTGTGTGAGAGAGAGAGCTAGACTTACCATACAGGAGTGTGTGTGTGTGTGTGAGAGAGAGAGAGAGAGAAAGAGAGACTTACCATACAGGAGTAAGTCTTCATATTAGAATGTATTACACTGGGAACACATCCCATTGAGGAATCTTGAAACGCAAAAAAGATTTCTCTGATACGGTTCACCAGCTTCAAGTCCTCGGTGATCTGCTCCTCTCAAATGAACGAAAGAACAAAAAAGCAAACTACACGTAAGTACCAATAGGCTATGACATTAAAATTTCAATGTGTGATACACACTTCACCTTTCCACTGTAACCAAGTTGATGGCTATGGTAAAGATGAATGAGTTTATTGACTACCAGGAAATCTTGCATAAGAGCAGCAAGTATACTAATAACTAGTTGGATGCTTGATTCATGGGCAAAGTAGGAACAGAGGACGTATCTTTATATGCAATTCATAATGTGTAACTTGAAAAAAGAAAAAGGAAAGAATAAAAAAACAATAATCATTGGAAAACCTCAGTTAAGAGAATATGACTGAGCGGAAAGTTCACTGATGATCAATGTAAACAAGATACTTCAAATAAAAGCAACATTGAATCAAATGATGAGATTGTATCATATAGTGAGTCATTAATACGTTTAGAGCAGCTTAACACAACATAAAGAGAAGTGGTATAACAATCCTCAATTCTACAACTAACCAGACAACAATGAGTCGACAAATTTTCTGGGATAACTAAAGCAAATTTGACATAGCAAAACATTGTAGACCCAGAGGTCTAGAACATCATGACTGGTCCCCTTATTGGGAAGTTAAAGGTTACGTTCTCATATACCTTTCTCACCTATGTACATAGAATTTGTTCAATCCTGTGGCAAAGATCGGAGATGTGAACATATAAATCTTATAATGGAAAGACACACATTAGCTCACGGAATTCAGAGAAGGTGCCTCAAATCAAGGTCCAAATACTTTAACACTAATGTCCTATAATCAAATTGTATACCAATATTATGTTTCAACCTAATGGGTGTTTATGTAATGCACACACTGCATACATGAGCGGAACTGATCTCAACTCTACGGTGTTTCTGTGACACATTACAATGTACACAGGAGACGGCCATCTCGAGGCATATCACAACCTACAGGCAACACCAGCGAGACCTGGGACGGTAACCCAATTGGGAGTACGCACTTCAAAACAATTATACAATGGAATGATGGATGAAAGTGAAAAAAACAAAAGAAACTAATCCACCAGTCTTAAATAAATGAAATTATATTGCATCACATTCTCTCGAAAGAAAAGGGAAAGGAAGTATAAACAGCAACTATTAGCATCTAAAACATAATAGTGACATCAAGTGTATAACGAAAATCATGCATGGAATTGATTATGAGCCAAAAGTAGAAACCACCTTACTTTATTTAAAGAGCCAAGCTGAACAACTCCATATGGAAGTGCAGCCACCACAACAACAGTCTGCAGAACAGAAGAAAAATATATATGTTAACAAAATATCTGAATGAAATACTTACCGAAAAGAAAAAGAAATATCTCCACGAATTTAGATGGACGATAAGAGCTTAAACAAATTATACAGAGAAAAAAAAAGTGCTCCATAGCACCGCCTCCTTAGCATTAACTTCTATAATAAGTAGAGATAAAAATTTCACGTTAAGATTTGAAGTGAGAACTATTTATCCATTCCCTATATTTCTAGAAGAGAACTGAATGAAATAAGTAGTCCTATTTGTGTAAAGCCGGGTCGACGAACTACGTCAGATATATAAGTGGAATAGAACACCTAAAATCATAGCTGAAGTGAACATCTGCATGTATAATTACTAGTGACATAATGGGGGAAGGACATTGAACCTAAATTATATGGAAGCATCATGACTATCAAACATCTGCTACGAAGTTTGGTGCACAGGAGTTCTGTAACCAAAGATGTCACCACTCTCTGATAGTCAGGATAGTCCAAACTTAGCAGCTTTCATCTGTTCCTTGTATGTAACTCCTACTAGCTCGATGCAGAATAAAGGAACCCGGTCATATAGTTGAAAAAGGCCTAATAATCGACTAGTATTCGAGGTGAGAATCAGTTAAAGTATAATATTTTCTGACAGCAATGGTGACAGACGTTAGCATGGTCCAGACAAATCAGCTTCATCTGTTTGTCCCATGTCACTCCCACAGCCCAATGCAAAATCTGAAGAAATGCAGTTGGTCTACGGTTAAGAAGTCCTAAAAGTGAGTCATAGAAAACTGAGTACCAGACTAGCTGGCACAGCACCAAGGTTAGAGTTACCATGGTCGGTATCTTCAATTAGTGATGCAACTCAAAAATATCAACAGTGAGAGATAATTGAAAGACACAAAATCACATCCGCAATATCTCCACCACCACCTAAATGACCAACTTGCTTAACAATGAGAAAGATCAGACCAAAAATCATTATTGATTGTGTTGGGAAGTGCATTGCAGATCCAAAATCCTCCATCGTCACTGATAATAAGAGGACCTCTAACATTTATCTACAGTATGTTTATTTTTGCATTGCAGCAATCATAACAACATATATTAAATTTTGAAAAAGAAGCAAGAAAGCATACCCTAATCCCAGCTGAAAACTGAGTTTGCCACCCCTCATAATACTGAAGCCAACAAAATTACAGAATAAGAATGAATGAAAGGTTAAACAAAGAGTAAATATTGTTGAATAGCACAAACAGTGCACAATGGTTATCTATACAACATGGTAAATTGCATGTTTAATGGTATTATTAAATGTCCAAATTTATCTCTCACCTCAAATGATGAAGAGAAATTATTTACATGTTTGTCCCCAAAAATCCACAGATGCTTTCCAGTAACTGCCACCTGTCCCACAATCCTGTTCAATAAAGGATTAACATCAAATACAAAGTCTTCTTTTTTCTTTAGTTTTTATTAAGTAAAATTTAAATTTGTCATTCCTTCTTTATTTAATTGTTTAATTTTTCTCATATGAACAGAAACATTAATAGGATAGCAAACACAGAAATGTGTTACCCACCGAGTAAAGCAATGTCAATATATATGTTTTTTTTTTTATGAGTAAAGCAATGTCAATATTGACAAAGGAAGACTTGGAAAATAGTAAAATATAGGAAAATAGAGTAATATATGCATACAATATTGGATGAAAATTTCTATCCATATCGAATAAAGGCTAGGAGGAGGATCATGAAGAACTTCTATCTATAGTCTATAGGCTAATTTTGAAATTTGGCCACATCAAAGAACATGGTCCAAGCTAAACCACTGCATCATGGTATTGAAAAATCCTACATAAATTACAGATAGTATATCAACAATATGGAAGAAATTGTACCCTTCCCCAAGTGCATGTACATGATATGACATCTTTGCAACAGCTAACCCAAGAGGATCATGTGAATAACGCCCATTGTGGAAGTTGCGGACTTCCTTTTCAAAGCACTTGTTATCAGAAGAATCATGTTGCTCATGGCTATCATAGTAAGCATCCTCCCAAGTCAACATCCTACAAGAAGTTCCATATATCAGAAATGAAGAGAATATGCATAATGCAAATACCATGGGAAAAGCTAACCACCAAATAGATGTGAAGCATAGAGATAACACAATAGGTGTTCTTTAGGTAGACCAATTCTTAAACATTAATGCTGAGATGATTTTCACCAAAATTTCTAAAAATAAGAGTTCATCATGGACTTAGTACTCCAAATTCAAGGGAAAAGATCAAAAGATGTGCAACTATTGCTGAGCTTTTAGAAGATTGGACAGACTTCTGGAGAAGAAAAAGGGCAAAAAAGAAAGAGAATAACAAACAAAATTTGATATACCTGAAGCAATACATAAGAGGTTTGGAGCCCTTTTAGACATCAGAATTCAAATAAAAGAAGACATAATTACAGAAAAGATAGAGAAGTCCAGCAACAATTAACTTAATTTCCAATGACAGATTATCCCATGACTCTGACCTTTAGCACTTAAATTTTGAAAATTTCAAATATCAGACCCAATTTAAAGATAACTCTGCAAATGCAAAACTTAAACATACAATTCTAACCCAAGTTCAAATTCCAAAATTTGAAGAAAGCGTGAAATATGCCTGTAGACCAACAAATCCAATATAGTCAACAAACTAAGTACATCAAAATTAGCAAAATTAAATAATAGCAGAAGCACCAAATAAACCAATCCATCAAGGACAGCATACTAAGCATATGTAGAACATAAAAGTGAATTAACTAAAGAAAAGAAAAGACTAACAATAAGAGATTTATATGAACTTACATTCGAGCTCCATGTTTGAGTTTCCAGAACACAGCGTACTTCCAGTCGGTGTTGAAACAGAGGGCCCTGAGTGCTTGGTGCAATTGAGTACCCATTTCGCCCTGTTAAAATATTCTAACACCTCCTAACTCCACACACCAGGTTAATCAATAAAACCCCACAAACCCCCAATTCTGCAGAATTCTACCACCCTAACTCCCTCTATATGAACCTCTTCCTGCCTGCTTCCTTCGCAACCCTGCTCGCCGCTTTATTGGTGGTCCCACAGTCGGAAGCAGCAGACTATCCAACACCATCCTCGCTCAGAAACAGCTAAACTCCCAACCCTAAACCAAACTACAATCTTGAAACAATTCACCAATATCACAAGTATCAATCAAGTCCAATGTCAAGAACCTCCACATAAACTACTCCCATGAAACCCTTCAAGCATTTCACCATGATTGTCAAATCAGTAAACCCTAAAACTTTCTTCAATCCAACAATCCTTACAATTCGCAGATGAAATCGTATATTTAACTAATATCAGACGACATTGACGACCCGAATCACAAAGTATTCTGTACTAATTTTGATGAATTCAGTAAAGCGATCTAGTTAACAAGTCATATAGATTCCAAATCTTTTTTAAAAAAAGGAAGTAAAAAAAATCTTTCTTTTTTGGCTCTCCTTTTTGGTTAATAGTACGATTCTAAAAAAGAGTAATTAAAGGTCAATCGAATCACCAAGAAATTCGAACCTTTGAACTGCATTTACAACCATTTCTTCAGTAAAGTTCGCCTCTCACTGATCGTTTAGAGAGAGAAAATTTTAATTGTTTAGAGAGAGAGAGAGTGTATGAGTTAGTGGCTTATGCATTTTTGAACCAACCTTTATATACGGAAAAGCTTTTCGTTCGAATGAGCTGTGTGCTACTTTATCTGCTTCTCAGGATGCGCAGTACGCAACAATTTATCCTACGCATAGTTTGTACGTTATCATCCCTTGTTTTTGTAAGGATCACCCCTCTTACTTCCCTATATTACTAACAAGCACACAAATATTTGATATAATGACTCCTACACCCTCATCTAGAAAATAGAGAGGATCCGATTAGAGAGCCCCGGATCCTCTGCCATAGAGCTTTGATTCTATAGAATAAATGTATTAAAAACAGACACAAGTACGTTAAAAAAATGTTATAACACCAAGGCACTACAGAAATTGCTCGAAATTATAATCTGTAACTCATAAATTTATTTATTTATTTATGACGTGATATAATTTTTGACCTTATATAGAGAAGAAGGTAAAGGTTATACAATTTGCTATAGCCCTAGGTGGCTAAAAAAATTTGTTGAAAGATAATATGTGAGTTTATATTTATCATTCCAAGTGCCCTTTTTTTTCCTTGGTAGTCCATTGATGGATGGCCAACAAAATGATGTCCAGCTATGAAAATTGCTTCTTATCTTCCCATCATCTCTTTTACATACCAATCTCTATGTAAAAGAACTTTATCAACCATGATTTTACTGCTAAAAGGTGTGACACCCAACCCCTCAATCTCCACTGCCCATCTTTGAGCCATTGTCGTGCTCTTTTGATTTCCAAAGGAGATTTTCATGGGCACTACGAGCCAATTGATGGCCATCGAGTGGCATTCGAGAGCACGAGATGATTGGACCTTGTCATCTCACCACCAATGTTGTTCCATCGATCTCACGTCTTACCTTAATACATATTGTCACGAGTTCTTATTTCACATCATACATAAAATTTGATGATTTTTAAACTTATAAAAACAGGTACGTAGCATATAACCTAGAAGTTTATATGTTTAAACGTTTAAATTGGATGAAAAATAATCAATCTAAGGTAACCATCTAATAGCTTAAGTAATTTTTTTATTAGATGACAACCGCCCGATTGCTACACTTATCCACTCCAACTGCACTTGCAACCAATTTCATTAGTAATTTTTTGTATTGGACCTTACCATCTCACCACCAATGTTGCCCTGGTCGGTCTCACAGCTCACCTTAATATCTATTGTCACCGAGTTCTTATTTCATGATCGTATATGAATAGAATGGATTTTGAATTTATAAAAATAGGTAGGTAGCGTAACCTAACAGCTTAAACATATGAATTTAATTAAAAACACTTGGTTAACATCACCTAACAGCTTAAGTAGCTTTTTCGTTAGATGTCACCCGTTCAACCTAGTACTATACTTTATCAGGATAATTTTTTAACTTATTCTATCTTTACGGGTCATGAACCCTATTTAATACTCTCTTGAATTGAAGACGTGCTTCTCTAACTAATTCCCTACCTCATTACAACATTTTCACAAATTCGACATTTTCATAAACTTGCTAGCTTTTTTCTTTCACCAAATCAATCAAACATAGTCCTTCGAATCAAACTCGAAGTGCACTTCCAACCAATTTCATTAGCCACTACAATATTTTCATGAGTTTGCTTTCTTTTTGCACCGAAACAATGCAACATTATCCTTGGAATCACATGATTAAGCGACATCAATTGACCATTGTCATCAATTTCTAATCATTTCCTCATATTTTCTACAAGTTTATTTTTTATTTTCCTCCCAAATTAAGAATTATGAGGGACGTCAAACCGAATTTACTAGTCATGAAGAGTGACAAACAAAAAAGGGGTTGAAACTTGAGAAGAGCTACAAAGGTGAAATGATTAGAAATTTATAGTATTCACCTAAATGCTGCTTTACTCCAAAAGAAAGGTTGTCTCGGTGGTCATTAATGGGATATTTACCGGCACTAATCATGATTTATTTATATTAATCTTTTTCTGTGTTTTGTGCTTAATTAATGTGAGCATGTCACTAAACAATTATTTTAAGGTTGCCCAAGTGCTAGTGGGTTTGATAACATATGTTTTCTAGGTCAAAGCATAAACTCAAATAGATGGCTACGATTTTCTAACTTCAATTTTTTTTTTTTTTTCATGGATAGAATGTTGGGGATTAGGGGGAGAGGACTATGGAGGCTCGAAATTGAACTCCAAGGATAATAGGAACTCTCCAACGTGGGTTTCAAAGGCGTTCGATAAAGAATTGATATAAGAATTCTTTTACTAGAATACTTAGGTCTTTATTAATGAGATCTATGTAACGACTCTAGCTGATGTCAAAATTTAAAAAAAATTCGGCATAACCTCCTCTAAAAAAGGGACTACAACCACCTGCTCAAATAAAAAAAAAATGCAATGACCCTTCTTGGCCTTTCAAAACACCTCCAACCTGTCCCAACTATAATAAAATTAATATACTCCAACATCTCATCCATCCGTTCATTATACCTCAACGTAGCTCATCTCATGGTAAAACATCTACATACCGTTTAATCCAAATTATCATAATTACAGTCCCAAAATATAGTTACAATAACAAGAGTTCACAAATCTCTATACCAAATATAACAAACTAAGATTTTACAAAAATATGGGACTTAATACAAAAATAGCAAAAGAAGTCTTCTAATTCAAATTAGGCCTGTGGTGGAAAATCATCCGCCACTTCTTTCCCGTTTCCTGAAAAAAATTATTAAATAATAAGGTGAGCATAAAGCTCAGTAGGTAGCACTTAAGACACGCATCTTGTGTCCTTATGAATCTATACAAAGAATAGATCAATAGGAATGGGGATCATACAGTGTCGGAATAATACAACATTTCAACTAAACTCAAGTGCAAACAATGCAATGCCATGGAATGCAAATGCATGCCGATGTCGCTCCCCATTTTCATAATCCAAACATCATTTCCAAACCGTTAATACAGCCCGCCCTTTGGTAGCCCCGCCGCGACACGAGAGGAGGATTGGCTAGTGTCCCTGACCCTTGGTAACCCCGCGGCGTCATTATGGGGCCCAGCTAGCTCAACCACGCTAGGGCGATTCCCTAGTCCCCTCTAGGCTATATTAACCTTCGGCTCGTTGGTAACCCCGCAACGACCGGGTTTCGCATAAAACCATTTCATCAAAAACACTTCCCTGAAATTCCCCATATTTATTTCAAGAACAATTTCTCCCATTTCATGCAAATCCAATGGTATGTACATGTATATATATCCCATGCTTTTAATATTATAGCATTTAGAATTTTACACCACATAATTAAGCATACATCATATTTAACATCTCTAAATGAATTATAACACATTAAACACGACAAGACAACACAAAATTTTACACCACAAAATTAAGCATACATCATGTTCAACATCTCCAAATGAATTATCAAAACATTAAACACAACAAGACAACCTCTAAGCATGCTTTTCTACTCATATTCATAATCATGAATTTTCCTAAACATCATTTATATAATCATTGAAACAATTAACTTTCAAATTAAACATGCTTGTCACAACAAGAGAGATATAATTCACAATGGAGCAAGAAAAACATGGATTAAGAGCCCCTACCTCTAAATTGAACAAAACCCTTGAAATTAGGTCTCTAAACTCAAATGCACAAATGAGCACCAAAACTGAAATTGTTAGTATGGATGCGTAGAGCTCGTCGTGGGCTTCGTTTTGCCTCAAACGACACCTAAATCCGCCAAGAAATGAGGGAGAAATCAAGCTTAATTGTGTAAAAAAAAAAAAAAAAAAAAAAAAAAAAACGGGCAGAGAGCTGCGAGACAGAAGACAGAGAACAAAAAAAAAAGGAAAAAAAAGTGTGGTCTTATGACCACTTAAACTTGTGGATCCCAAACATTTTTTTTTTTTCCTTTTCTTTTATCTTTTTCTTTTGCCTTTTAAATTGCACCACACACAGACATTACAATTTATACCATACTTACTATTAATATGAATCAATAAGTATTGTTCAAACAAAAATTGATAACTGTAACTAGTATGACATTTCCTAATAAACACTTCGTTAGCAGGCGCAGTGTTAGCTCAACACTAGGACGTGTACTGTTTAGGGCCTTTCGCTCGTGTTCGAAACACACCAGTTTCATTTCAATTCCATTTGTACCCTCCAACTCTCTAACCCCAATAATCATTGCCAAGTCAAAAAGGATTGCATAAAGTCTCGATAACAAAAATTGATAAATGTATGTTTATCTATTGATATTTGCATATATATATATGTTTATGATTAGGGTAAAAAAGACTAACCATTGCCAAGTCAAAAAATAAAATAAAAAATTAATCATTTCCTTATGAATTAGGGTTGCATAAAGTCTCGCGAACAAAAATTGATAAATGTATGTTTATCTATTGGTATCTGTATACATGTTTATGATTAGGGTAAAGAAGGAAAATTACAATTAAGGCTAATTAAGATTTCTTAATGGTCATTAAATGAAGGCTAGCTATGCATGAATGAGCTAGACGAGTTAGTGATGCAAATGATAGGTCATTTTTCTACGTACAAAGAATTGTAAATATAATGAGTGGGATCATAAATACAAAGAGACAAGGAACAATCATATTCTCCAATTTATTTCTTCAGGTTTTGTAAATAAATGCTAACATATTCAATCACTCATGGAGTTAAATTATTACATGTTCTCATTCCCATATGAGGTTTGTATAATGCAAGGCTGCAAAACATAATAAACAAAGTAATGGTGGTCCAATTTGACAAGGTTTCAAGTTGCACCTTTGATTCCATGACCGCCTTGTCTCATTCCATCATTTCCTCTCCCTCTCTCTCTCTCTCTCTCTCTCTCTCACACACACACACACACACACACACATGGTGAGAGAATAGGTGTTGGGAACCAGAATCATCCCAAGTAGATTTTGTAGCTTAGCTTTTTACTAACATGTAATATAGGATGGACTCCCTAGTCTCCAAATAATGAGTATAGATTTATCTTTTCTACATCTCAAAGTCAACATAGACGGACTTTAAAATGGAGGAAACCCATTGACTCATTTGAAATACATTTTCTTTTTGAAAGGTGACCCATTTGGAATATATTGTTAATTGTATGCAATGGGTGGATAACATTAGTGGCCATTTCAAGAACTATATTATATTATGGTGGTACCAAAATTGTTGTCAAACATGTACAAGAGATCATAACTTTAGATCGATTCAGATTACTCATATATTTTTTATTATTTTGATAACAGAGTTGTTTGGGGTTTTGTCCCGTCTAATTTATGAGATCTGCATAAGGCGACTCTCCATACAGATTGAGTAAAATTTGAATTATATTCGCAATCGTGAATCTAAAGAAATTACTCACACATAGTAGTAGTCAAATTTAAAATCTAAAACTTCGTAAATCAAGTCTTTTTCAATTAAATACACAAATATATCATTATCTTTACATATGTATATATATCTATATATACATATATATAAATATATATGAAGGTGCCATCAAATTTCTTAATTAATTAGCTGATAAAGTTTTAAAATAATCATAAAGTTTGTAATTCATCCAACTCAGTTAGAAGGACATTTCATGACCGCCAAAAATATAACACTAGAGAATCCAATGGTGGAGAGCATTTTTTTAAGATTAGTATTAAATGATTTTGTTATTGTATTAGAATAGTGTGTGTGTGTATATATATATATAATCTAAGTTATACAGAACTCATGATTAAATTGAACTTTACAAGCAAAGTCACGTAGTAATCAACAACTTACAAAAAAGAAACCGCACCAACACATGGATCAATCAACTCAAGATTTGCTTGATCCATGATATGCATTTTTAAATGGAATTCGATCTACTTTCAATAAATTTCTTAGATTTTCTAGGGAAACGAAAGGGACAATTATCATATCATTCTTCCAATCGAGATTGTCAAGAATAGATTTGATAAAAAATAAAAATAAAAATTATTATTCTAGATGGAAAAAAAAAAAAAGACATAATTCATTCAAGTTCTTCATTAAGCATTGCTGCATTAGTAGCTTTTATTTTTCTATCATGTTATTAAAAATTCAATATCTTGAGTTGTCTTATCTATTAGACAATTTTAGAAAATATATATTTTTTTAACCTATTTTAGAAAATATTTGAAAAATTAAAATTATTACTTGGAATCATTATATTAAAAGATTTGCAATTGTTGGCATCAAAAAAATTATTATATAGGCCCAACCAATCCACGTAAGTAAAAAATTGAATAAACCTGATATACTTTACTAGTGTGATAAATTGTGATTGATCGAGACCATGCAATCCCGGATCATATAATAATTTTTTATTTACATTTATTTAGGGCATCATAGTACAATATTTGGGCACACTCAAGAGGTCTGGTGTTCATTTTTGAGAGCCTTTAGTCTCCCCGTCCATAGCTTACAAATGCCCGTGATTTAGAAGTGATTGTGAGTTTAATTAGAATAAATTAGTCTTCCTCCCAAAGGGATTGGGATTAGGGTCACCCTCAGTTACTATATGTATATATTTATATATACATATATATCTATATATATAGACACGCACAAGAATAAGAGTATATAGGATAAATGAAACATGATGAGTTTGAGAAATAATTCCAACGAAAAAGCACTTTGTATCCACGTTGGAGGTACATAATGCTCTCTAACCACAATTTTGTTTTGGTAAGATTAGGTGCTTAATGTGATAAATGTTGGAAGACAAGGTGGAATTAAACAAGAGTATGTGTAATTCAATGAACCATTAAATGTTTGGTTAGACACCACTTAAACACCACTCAAGTGTAATCCTTCTCCTGTACAAAAGTTTCACTATCAGCATCAATAAAAAGCAAGAGTGTTGAGTAATCTCAAGTGCATTACACATGTAAGCACTTTCAAAGATATATCATATTTGATCTCTTACATCTCAAAGAGGGGAGATGCATGACATACATAATCTGAAATGTTTTACTAGCTGATATGTACATATAGAGAGAGAGTAGACACACATTAAATAGATTGTGTAGAATTGTTGCTATTTATCTATAGACATAAAAGGGGAAAGACGGTTCCTAAGCCACTACTTATCCTAATGCATTGAAGTTTTATCATATCAGTACCAACCAAATCAAACCCCAACACGTCGTTGTATGGTTTGTAAGTAGATATAAAACAATTAGCACTATTTTCTTATTCAACTCAAAAAGTATAGCGGTAAATTTCTATTTCATTCACTATTAACTCTAAAATCAGAAACTATTATAAAAATAATGGGAAACCAAATTTTCTAAAAATACTGTGTTCGTTTATGAAATTGTATTTTTTATCAAAATAACTAAATCCACATTCAATGCATGTGCAGTAAATGGTGGACATTTGTAATCATATTCGAATGAATAACATCTTTGTAGTTTAACAATCCCTTCAAAAAATGGTTGTTAGACCTTCCAAGAACCCTTCAAACGGTAAATCGGTTAGCTGGAATTGGGACAAGTGAGGGAGAAATAATTTGTATAAATCAAAACTTAGTTGTTGCTTGGTGTGGGGCATATTGGCTCTCATCCTATTTACAGGCCAAGAGCCTTACATTATGTACAAGTGTCAATGATCGAACCGTCAAGAGTATTGCAGAATTATGTCCTAGAATCTTTGATAGAATATTTAAGACATTTCATATTAGGTTACGCTACACCTTTATGAATCTATACAATTCTAGATAAACTCCACACAAGTGTAACATGTAGGAACACCAACTGTGTCCCGCATTTTTATTCAACCCTCTTGGGCTTAGGAATTGGCTTGTATAATCAACCCTTAGGTCGGGAGTTCGAGGATTGGTAGATAGGCAACTCGCATTATTTGATTCCTGCGATCAATTCATAACAATAGATAATTTCTCATTGAATTCAAATATGTCAGATTGATTAAGGATTGTGTAAAGCATTTTCAGCACTTCAAACATGGAATGATGATGCATCAACTATCAACCATTCCAACCATCTATCCAATGTTAAATCATGGGTGCATAAACATACTTAATGTTGGAGCTCGTAGCGCGTTGTAATGGCGGTTTTCCTTCATGGGTATCTGCTATATAGGTGCTTACAAAATCTTTGTATATGAAAGCTGTAGAGCTTAGGACTGCGTTTCTTAACCAGTGCTTTTGCAGGTTCAATGTGGTTGTCACTACAAGGATGAATAAAGCTAGCAACTGTTGTTCTTGCAGTGGATTTGTTTGTCACAACTCTATGGTCAGCACTCCTCAGCTATTGCTGATTATCTGCAAACACACACAATGCCATTGAAATATAAATGGGGGAATGCACTATAAATTCGTACTTCAGAAAGTAATTTTTTTTCTGAACTGATTGGCAACCGTTTTTGTTTTGTATTTTTGTTGTCTGGGTATTCACCGATGGAGAATCTTACACAATGTTTTCATTATCTATTTCCAGTATGGTGTTCTCTTAGCTCAACAATTAGAAATACACGTACCTTTAGCGCAGAGAACATGGAAATTCTGAAAATGGAACTGAACAAAGATTCTTCTCTCTAACACAAAAATTCCATTAGACACATCTTACAAGTACAACTTGGAGCACCTCAAGCCCATAAATGTTTGAAAGTGTTTCCTAGTTGTTTAATCCAATAGAATAAGATCACTGAATATTCACAGAACCATACAAGAGATCAAACAAAAATGACAAACTGTCCATAAAACTTTAGGCCTGTCATAAGACAGAATCGTTCTCTAACAACAACAAAGAAATGTAATATTAAAAAAGCCAATTAAGACTAACGTTGCCAAGCCAGATGAAAACTGGGAACTGAGCCAAACCAATGAAGAGCAAGAGGTAATGATGCTTGCTCGAATCATAACTCCTCACCTCTGTGAAAAGAACTCTCTTCATTGTCTTCACCAAGAAAATTCCCATGCATAAGCACGTCCATGGCATCAGAAAGTAGTATGAGTGGCTCCACATGATTCTTCCAAGGACAGCCAGACAAATTCCTGAGAAAGTATACCCCGCATATGCCACAATGTCCAGCAAGGGGGCCTCCCCACTACCTAATGAAAATAATGACATTTTCAGCAGCGAAACTTGCAAAAACCAGCCTACCAATCCCTTGATGAAAAGCCAGTTTAGAGCTTCAGGACTAAACCTGCAAAATGGAAATTAACGTTATAGATAGAAGACTGAGTGTGTGTGCGCGCGCGCGCGCGTGCGGGGGGGGGGCCGCGCTGGGGGGGTGGTTTTGATAGAGATCATGCTGAACAAAACGATTTCTTTTATTATGGAACTTCCAAGATTGTTATGCAAAAGACAAAGAGGGGCCATCACCAAATAATAGCACATCAGAATCATACACAGATCCCAAAATGACTATTACTTCAAATAAGGCTTGAGGCCATCTCTAATACCCTAATCAGCAATCACTAATGTTCCCTTTATGCCAACTGTAAAATTAGTTAGAGAAAACGAAGTCATTGGATAGACCATCTGGATAGCGTTTGTTAAACAATGAAGCATTGCAGCAGAATCCATCGAAAAAAAAAAAAAAAAAAAAAAAAAAAAAAAAAAAAAACATCATTACTTATTTTCTTCCCATAGTACTTCCAAATGGCTTCACCAATTGGTGCCATAGCAATTCACTCTCAGTTTTTCAACTAGATAATAAGCAAGATGCCCTTTTTCCTCCTTTCATGCAGTGTCTGACGCAATATGATAAAAATCTAAATAATGCAAAGATTTGAATGGAGAAGAGCCTCTCTTTTTCTTTTTTTCTCAATTTAAAAGGTAAATGTTGAGAAAAGCCTTGCTTCTGCAACAAACACATTGCAAACACTATCAAATGGGGTCATGATATTAGGGGAGCAACCAAAGTTCTTTTGATAGATTTTGAGTGGAAATAATATCAAAACGAAAACATTTCATGTTGACGTGATTTTGAAACGCCTATTAAATAAAAGATAAAGCTGTTCATAAAAATATATGAAACTTTAATTAGGCTAATACTTACTTTCCATGAAGACCCAACGAGATCCCAGCAAGAATGACATAGGTACCAAATGCCATGAATGGAATATACAAGTCTGGAGCATTTATATCATAAACAGGGGGCTTATAGGAAAGCCTGCCACCAACCGGCTCAGTTATCCTTGTCCAATGGCCCTGGACGAAAGAGGAATAAGAAAAGAGTAAGTAATATAAGATAAATGAATGCAACAGCGAAAATTTTAAATTATTCTATTGAAATTAGTGCTTACCCTGTGCAGGAATGGAAAAAGAACCACCTTCAATTTGTTCCTCACATACTGGTCATTGACTTGAAAATAGTATTGGGGATCAGAGAAATACCTACTTATCTGTTCATTTAGGAAATAATTGTAAATGAAAAATCATCAAAACCATATATAAAAAAAATATATATCAGTTTTCCATGTCTCGTATATATAATATCATAAGCCTACAGACAAGTCCTATATAAATGATTTGCTTCATCAGCACTATTGTCCACCCACAAAACATCCAATGGAGATGGAATGACTTAGAATTTTGAACTACTTGGAATGTTTAATTAAGGAAACCCTTTAAATACTTGTTTGCTGCAACTTCCACCCCAGTAATGAACCTGGTAGGAATCATATGCACCTTGAGTCGAAGGGATTTGGTGAACTTTCAAGGCTAAAAAGAAGATTTTGGGTGCAAGTGAAAATAGAAATTTGTGGCTAGGAGAAGATAATTTGCTTGTTTGATATCCACTACAAGAGCATCAGAAGATCCCTTAAAAATTGAATATCTCATCTGCATTTTACATTACACAGACCTTGAGTTCATTTTCTTCTGTTAGCATTGAAAATTTGAAATAAGAATCTTTTTTTCTCTGAGGACTCATTTAAATGCCAAATGCATGCAATTTAATAGCCTTTACATGTATCTTTAAGATAATATTTCTTTGTCTAGATGTTAAAAAAAACAAAATTACTAGATAAAAGGTGTTTACTGCATGCTACTTTTCAAGAAAAGAAATAACAATCCCCGAAAAGAATATCACAAGACAGAAGAGAAAGTAAGCTTTTATTGTTGGGAAAATTGCCCCAATCATGACCTACAAATATAAAGGAATGATGATAAGTTAAAAAAGCACGTTAACAAAGATGCAGGTAATGAGATTACACACCAAGTTTATGTGGTTCGGCAATACACACCTACGTCCGCATAGAGATTGTAAACCGTACAAGATAGAGGATTACATAAAGATTTCCCTCTAAACCCGCAAACCTTTTGTACCCAATCAACCACTAGGAAATACAAAGTTCTAGACAAGAACTCTCTCACACAAAGTGTCCCCTCAAATACAATGAAAGTAAACCTCTCAAACAAGGGTTATTACCACATTCTCTCTAATTGTGCACCTTGAGTTCTATATCCAAATGGCCTGCAATGCTTCTCCTTTTATAGGAGAAGCAAGCATTGCAATTTCAATGGTTGGTGCAGCAAAGGTGAACCTTTATGTTTGAAACAAACAATGGTTGGTGGTGTCATCCTTTATGATTTGAATTGGAGCCACCATTATAGACCTTCTAAAATTGAGCCATATTTGTTAAATTCTTAGCCAATATCCAACAAATCTCCCCTTGGCTAGAATTCACTAGTCTCAACACAACAGACTCCCACTTGCAAATCCACAAGCAGGCCATTGGCCTTCCATATGGCAGCTACACATAACTCGAACCAAGTTATAACACAAACTCCACCTTCATTCCACGGCCAATGCATACATGCAACTGATCCAAGTCAACACGATCAAGTGTCTCTGAAAGGAGACCTCGATGAGACCACTTCACAAGCAAGAATTTCCAACTCTCCATCATTGTCTGGAAACACGTCATCACCATCTCTTTTGCATCCACCAATGAGACCTATCGCAAGATCTTGCTTTCACGTGCCCGTTTCCAATCAACAATCGAAATCTGAGTACCATTGGTACCCCTCACCAAACGATATAATCCACCACTCTTTTCTCCACGCATCAACACCATGCAACCCTTCGTAATTTTCAGGACTCCCCCTACAATGGAGCACTTGCAATCTATGGAATCCAACAAGCTTAAGGATATCAAATTACACCGCAACTTTGGTGCATAGGAATGTCCCCCAAAGTGCATTCCACTCCATCAAACATCTTGATTTTTACCATCCCACACCCTTCACGGTACACTTGTCACCGTTGGGTATAGTCAAAGAACTATCTCAAGTCCTTTAAACGAATCAAAATATTCTTTCACAAAGCAAATACGATTCGTAAAACTCAAATCTAATATCCATTTAAGAAGCTTACCTTTGGAAATTATGAGAGCATCTCCAAAGTCTTCGTCTGAAGTATATGCGATAGATACATCATTCTTACCGCCATCTTCCTTTCCCTTTCCACGTGGACAGTCCTTTTTGATGTGGCCCCATTCACCACATCTATGGCATTGCTTGTCCTCTCCTCCCGTTGATCTAGACGTGTTGTTGTTATACTGCTATAGATGCAAGAATATTTTCTTTCTATTGATGGAAAGTTTTTCTCTTACACCAAATACTCTGTCGCTCCTCTCTCTTCTTACTCTATTTATACATTTTTTGTCTTACCCTATTTTCCATTGTCTGGTCTCCAATCTTTGGGTTAATGGGCCTCTCTTTCCCCTCGGGCCAATGCAGTCCATTTTACTGTTCGCTCATGTGGGCCTATCTGTCTGCGTGGCCCATCTTACCTTATGGATCAGGGTTATTTTGGTGACAAATGGCGTTTTCTGTGTGGAGTGTGTATTCAATGCAGTGGAGGGCATTTTTGTACCTTCGCCTACCTTCCCCTGACAATGAGCAACCATGGCTGAGTTGTGGCTCCTATCACCAGTGTCCTTCCTCTTACCATTACATAAGATAGTAGACTAAACATCCTCCATCTTCAATGTTTCCTTTCCATATAGAATGGAAGTCAAAATGTTCTCATAATAATCCGGAAGGGGGGTAAGAAGTAATAGGGCCTTGTCTTTTTCCTCAATTTTCACGTCAACTTTTGCAAGTTGATCAATAATACCATGAAATACAAACATGTGTTCCAAGGGAATTTTGTCTTCCTCCATCTTCAGCTAATACAGATCACGCTTCAGATTGAGTTTTGTGGTGACACTCTTTGCTAAATACAGCTTCTCAAACTTCTCCCACAATTTTGGTGTCAAATTCTCCCCATTACCATTGCTAATGATATTATCTCCGATACAAAGCTGAATAGTGTTATGTCACTGCAGCTCTATATCTTCCCAATGATGATATGCCATCTTTTCCGACTTTCCATCCTTTCCCTTTAAAGCGCAATGTAAGCCTTGTTGAACTGGGATGTCCTTCACTTCACTTTACCAAAGAATAAAGCTACCCTTGCCATCAAACCTCTCCACCTTAAATTGTGAAGCAATATCACCGGCTATGATTGTCACAAGTGTCCAAGACAAATAACACCATATAAAAAATTTGACATCAAGAATTTTTTATCAAACAACTTGAGTGTAAGCATATGGCTTTAATAGCAATTGTTGGGAAATTTGCCCCAATCACGACCCACAAATATAAAGGAATGATGATAAGAAAACAAGCACGTTAAGAAAGATGCAGGCAATAAGATCACACGCCAAGCTTTCGTGGTTCGGCAATACACACCTACATCCACAGAGAGCAAAATTTTATGACATGTCTCATTGGTGGATGCAAAAGAGACGGGGGTGGCGTGTTTTCCAGACAAATAATGGAGAGTTGGAAATTCCTGCTTGTGAAGGGATCTCACTGAGGTCCCCTTTCAGAGTCGCTTAATCGTGTTGACTTCATTCAGCTACACATGTGAATTGGCCGTGGAATGAAGGCGGAGTTTGTGTTATAACTTGGTTTGGGTTATGCGTAGTTGGTATACGGAAGGCCAATGGACTGCTTGTGGATTTGCAAGTGGGAGTCTCATACGTTGAGACTTGTGAATTCTAGCCAAGGGGGAGAATTGTTGGATATTGGCTAAGAATTCAACAAACATGGCTCAATTTTAGGAGGTCTATAATGGTGGCTCCAATTCAAGTCATAAAGGATGGCACCACCAACCATTGTTTGTTTCACGCATAAAGGTCCACCTTTGCGGCACCAACCATTGAAATTGCAAGACTTGCTTCTCCTATAAAAAAAACTAACAAAATGGGCCCTTAAAAAGAAGGGAGGAAAACTCTTTTTCATTTTCTATAATGCTTATGGTGATGTTTCATATTAAATTATAACTTGTTTATTACAATGCTGTCTAAAACATCATCATCATCTTTGCCTTTATCCCATACAAATGGAATTTATATCTTTTTCCTATTCTTTTCTATTACAAGTCATCTTTCTTATTATATTTAATTTTTAAAATCATTTCTAGTTACTTCATCCCACGCTTATTTGTCTCTTGCCTTCTATGCAAATAAATCTAGCTTTTCTTACACGTGCATCCATGGGTCTCCGTTGTATATGACCAAACCACCCAAGTCCATGTTCTATTATTTTATCACTCATCAGACCACTCCAACTTTACCCTCACTATTGATTACTAATCCTATCTTTCCTATTCACTCTTGTCATCCATCTTTACATTCTCACTTCAGCTACATGAATATATTGTTCTTGTTTCTATTTTTAGCGCCCCAACATTCTGGTCCATATAATATAATTGGCCTAATAATCGTCCTAGAAAATTTTTCTTTTAACTTATTTGGTATTCGTTTATCACATAGAACGTTATCTAAAACAGAATGGACAAATTCAATTTCTAAGGAAGTTGACTTTCCCTATTGTGGAAAATAAAAGTATAACAGTCAGGGGAGAAAAGAAAAGAAATGAAATGAGAGGATATTGTTAACCACTTATCGTGTTTGGTTGACTAATATAGGAAAAGAAAGGAAATGATAGTAATCAAGTTTGGGAAAAGAAAGGAAAGGAAACTATTTTAATGAATTGACTACGATACCCATTTCCATAAATTCTCTTTTATAAAAATACGGGCAAATTTGGTATTAACAAAGTTTCATTAAAAATGGTAGCCTTTCCTTCCATTTCCTCCCATTTTTGGGAGGATAACAAAACCAACACATCATGCCTAATTGGTATCCTTCCTAATTCTGTTTCCTTTCTTGTCCTTTAAAACTTCATACCAAACATAATATTTCATTTCCCTCCATTAACTTTCTTTTCCTTTCCTTCCATTACCCTCAACCAAACTGGGTCTAAAAGATTAACTTACAAAGTCAATTTCAAAATTAAGGACAACCAGAATTCAGCATTTTCCTAACACATCATTCAAAAAGGTCACTGCCTGATTTAGAGTTCGACTACAAGCTGAGGGCTTCCCCTAAAAGCCATTTAGACACGACAGATAACACGTGGATTTTCAACAAAAAAGGTCATGCAACACAAAATACCTTATGGAAAAGATCTTCCAAACCATGTATATATCATAAAACTTCAGATGGTTAATAACCTGACATCCTTCACAACCCAACCTAGCTAACATGAGATGGAGCTTGGAATATCACAACCATGCATGCTACTTACATTGCTTTGCACATACTCGGAGCTTGATCCTAAAATTCTCTCTCCATAAGCACCCAGTCCACCTTTTATAAGACCTGAACCAGCTCCATAGAATGCATTACCAAATGGATTTGGCTGTGGGTTTGTTGGTGGTCTTGGCACCCCAGGCTGTGTTCCCAGGTTATCATACATTTCTGTAATAGGAAATGAAAAGAGGAAATATCATTGGGCTAACTTTGCTGTAAATAAAAAAATCTATATATATAGCAAAGCACAGAGAGAGCTCGGGCAGCAAGCATCTGTTATTTGGTTCTTTCAAATCCAAAGGAGGTTAATGCTTATGACTGCTAACTGTAAATCTCAGAACTTTTAAGAATCCAATAAAATTGCAAACAAGGTCAATCATCAAAAGAAATGCCGATAAGGTCATGCAAAAAATTTGCTCCAGGAGATGAGCTGAATGAGGGGATCACCCTCCCAATTTCGCAATATAGAGACCATATATAACAGTTAAAAACTGAAACTGAGGCATTAGAAGACATAGATTGAGATATCACATGATATTACACAAAATTCATTAGAAAAGGTTCAGACATCTGGTTTTTGTACAGGACTTCACTTATTTCTTTCTACAGAGAATTACATTTAAAATCTATCTACACTATTAATGTAAACATGGGGATATTTTTTTATTTTGATAAGTAAATGGGGATATTATTTTACTTCCATAACAATTTACAATGTTAAAATTATTGTTAAAAAAAACAACTTTAGATGCCGGGTTGCAGATTTCTGTAAAGTTAGGTAGAAAAAACAATCTAATTTTTTTTTAATTAGCAAAATAAAATCACAATTAATACATAAATAAAAGAAATATTCAGTGATCAATACCGATAAGTGGAAACATACACTAACAAATAAAGATCCCAAAGTTCCTCAGTTCTCAACCTTAGCTGGTGAAAATTACAAAGCAACTCTTGTTAGGATTTGTCTTACAGGACTCTCCTATTCCTCCCAACTCACCGTTACTGACATAATACAACCTGCGTATAGGTACGAAATATGTGTCCAAATCAAGTAGCCAAAAAAAGATACCTGGATCTTCCAATTGTGATGATAAAGAAAAGAAAAGGTTTGAATTTAACAGCAAAGAAGGGTTTTCTACTTCTGAAATGGAGGAATTTTCCCCTTTTCTCACCTTATTACAGTTTATTTAAATTGCAGTTTGAGAATTATTCTAAGGAATAATAGCATCATACTTACAGCTTTATGTAGTATATTATGTTTTAATGTAGGCAAAAGATGTCTACGTGGGAAAGTAGTCATATGTAAGTGTTTTGAATGCATTTCAAGCCATTTTAGGGATTTAGGGAGGTCCAATACCTGCACTCACTATATGTGCCCAGTTCCATGGAACATAATTAGGATTTGGTGAGATGGTTGTCTAAACATAAGATGCTTGGCAGCCGCAAAAGGCAGTTAAAAATGTTAATGCTACAAAAAAATTCTAGCTTAGGTACACATTTCAACAGGTGTTTTTCCTTTTTGACACGTCTGATTGCTGTAGTAGTAAGCTAAAAAATTTTAATGAGGAATAAAATATTATTTTAGGACCTTTTTTTAATATTTTCATTTTTTCAATTTTTTTAATTTATGTTTGCATTTTCTGTATTTTCAAAAATAAAATGAAAATTTTAGAAGAGCGCAGGAAGCAGGAAAACCTGCGCAGAGGATATTTTACTCTCTTCCCTCTCCTCCCCAAAGGCCAAGGGATAGACTGCACCCCTTTCCTTCCGTAGCTCTTTAAACAGACATTAAGATTCTTTTGATAGTTTCTGAGTAGCGAAAACAATAGTTATCAAGAGTCCTCTGCACAAGAGAAAATAAGTGTTGAAAATACTCCAAACCTACTATCTTTTAAGACATAACTGAATCAATCAACTTTTGGATATGTTGTGGACAGTTTTGCGAGAAGTGACATTACTTGTGAAATGCTTCTTGATTTTCTTTCTGCTAGTATGAAACATACCGTAGAAGTAAACTATGGGGTAAATGTGATTTCAGTTAACTATTAAGAAGCAGCTCAATGATTTATTTATTAGTCCATGTTATTTTTAAATTAAACTTGTTGAGTGACTGTTCAAAAGCACAAAAAGAACGTACCCATTTTGCTAGTAGGACGACAGAGAGAACTATTCCATCTAATCCTCTGGTCAAATTTTAGTCCTAGAAATATGGTAGCTCTAAAGATGGAAATTTAAGGATCTCTAATTTCTGACAACAAATATTTCTAAAACATATCTAAATCCAACATACAGTGATAAATACTGGAACATATATATAAAACTAACCACAAATAGGTTACTATATCATAAATCAAAATTATGTCCCACGATGGACGATTCTGCAAATGAAATGCATCAGAATTAAGAGCAATTAGTGCAAGCACAAATATTTAATATGATTCAGAACGAAATTCGAAATCTAAACGAGAGAACCTAATAAGCCCTCATCACAAACAGAATTCAAATCGTAGATTATACAGATTTAGAAAGAAATGAAGAAAGGAATGGATACATATATATACACACACGTATATGTAGAGAGAGAAAGTGCTTACCAGAGATAGAGATGTGTCGGATTTGGCAGACAGAAGAACAGATCGTGATCTGAGTTCCTCACTATGCAAGAAGAGCGACTATACGTTAAAGAGAGACGCTAACCCGGTTAATTACCCAAAACTTCGAACCGTACTAAATCTCACCCACCAAGGAGGGAATCGGAAGATAAAAAAAAATGGACGGGCAGGATAATTTAGGCATGGTAAAAAGTTAACTCATACGATCTTTTTTTTAGTAAGTTTAGATTTTCGCCTCCGCTGTTATACATCGCGTAAGCTCTCGTTCAAATTTTTATTATTTATGATTTAATTTTACGTTCTCACGCTCCCGCTTCTGAAATCATTTTCGCTTCACTTTCATTTTATGTGACTTAGATTAAAAAATGAGAAAGGAAAAGAATTGAAAAGTGGATAGATTTTGACTGTCTTTTTATAAATAAAAATTTTAAAATATTGGGAGTGTTCTTAAAATTATAAAAAAAAAAACTAAAAAATGTCCTTGTCTTAAGTTATTTTTGTCAATTTTTTTGTACTAATTTGTCTAATACGTTCTAAACGGACGTTAAAAAACGTTTAACTTGCCATATCAACTTTTGTGGCATTGTGATTCTGTGAGTAAAAGACTCCAACTACATTTGTTAAAAAGAAAAGGGATAAGAAAAATGAAGATTGGAAAAAATAAATAGAAAGGAAAAATAAGAGAATTGAGATAATAATACATTTGGGCTTTTTCAAAATTGTTAGCTTTCTAGGGTAATGGCTGTCCTAGCTTGTGAGTTTATTGAGATTGATTGCACAGTAAGTGCTAAAAAATTGGACTTTTTAAATTCTTTCAAATTTTATGTGTTTAAATGCAACGATGAATTCCATAAGTGACATTTTATGCCTTGTTTTCTCCCAATTCTTGACAAAAACAAATAAAAAAATAGATAAAAATTTTGAAAGTCATAAATTTTCAATAAATTGTTCCTCTATATTCATATTTACAGTTTCAAAAGAAGTCGAACCTTAGACCTTTAATAATTATTCAGTACTTGGATCCCCTCTTGTGTCACGAGACGATCTTGTGCACAAGTCACTTCGTGTGAATTAAAATTTACACTATTTATGAAAACCACAATTCACATATACCATGTATCACATGATATGATCTCTTCGAAGAGACAAGTAACTTACTCAGTTAAGCCAATTTTAGAATGGAAAAAGCTTACCTTAGGCCGCATAAGTATGGTTATCCTTTTTATGTTGATATAGACAAATAACAACATGACATGTGTCAAAAAAATAAATAAAATTAAGCCTGAATCATTCAGATCTTTTCACTGATCATCCAAAAAAGAAAATGATTTTCTATCACACATGTGTGAAACCTAGTAACGGACTCTCCCTCTCTTTAACTCACGATTCTTCTCTCTTTCCACCAAATTCCTATTGATGCCCACCATCTCCCCAATTTTGAAACCCCAATATTAATCATCTCTTCTGCCAACCAACGTCCACCAACTCCACTGCTTGCCATCTCCTCCATTTCCAAACCCTAATCTTTTACATCCAATCTTTAAAGATGATTCAAGCCGCCACATTCATTGTTTGCCAGTTTTGTTGCAACCCCATCTTTAGAATGACTCAAGAGGCCGACTAATTAATAAAATACTCATAACTTTAGTGGCATCCAAAATTTTGAAATTTATCACCACCTGTTACAATTCGAAGTCAAATTGATTTCCTTAAACTCCATTGATAATTGGGAGTCTTACAATTGTGGTTAACTTACCATATTTGGGTTAATTGTTTAACTTCTTCTGTAAACCGATTGTAATATAAAGGGTTTACAATAGAAAGTCTCGAACACATAAAGAAAATAATAATAATAATAATCTTTTCCTTTTGGATGATCTGCAAAAAGATCCAAACAATTTTTATTAATTATTTTAAAAAGATTTTGATACATGTTATATTTTTATTGGTCCATGTTAGCATCATAATGACATTTATACTTATAGAGCTGAAGCAAGTATTGTTCTTTTAGAATTACTTTGTTCTTCTTGTATTCAAAATAAATATATATATATATAACAACTACTGAATTCGAATTAAATGTTGGCAAAAAAGCATAAAACCCCCCTTAAGTATTAAGAATCAGCATTTTACCCCCCTGAATTACAAAATCGAGCAAGTCAATCCCTTAACTATCAGAAATGATCAATTTCACCCCCTGGCTGTCCTTTCCGGCTCATTTCCGATACCGGCATTGTACATTTACAAAAATGCCAATTGTAATTAACATTTAAAAAAAACAAATTAAATTAAAATTGTGAAATACCATTAATACCCTCAAGCAATTATATGGATCGATCTTCTCTGTTGGGAATTCAATCAAGGGAAAGGTGAAAAAACTCTGCAGCATATTCGAATCCACCAAATTCCCAACATCAGTTCTGGATGAATCGCAATCGCAATTACAATCGCCTACCAAATCGATCGAATCCGATTCTAGGGTTTCTTTGTTCACGACCAACCCTCTAATTCGATTGCCGGGTACTGAAGATCGAATTGTCGTCTATTTCACCAGTTTGAGGGGAATTCGGAGGACGTTCGAGGATTGTTGTGCTGTGAGGATGATATTGAGGGGATTTAGGGTTTTCGTCGATGACCGCGACATTTCCATGGATTCAACTTATAGGAAAGAGTTGCAGAGTGTTCTGGGCAAAAAGAATGTGACTTTGCCACAAGTGTTCGTCCGAGGGAAGTACATTGGAGGTGCTGATGTGATCAAACAGCTTCATGAGGTTGGTGAATTGGCCAAAATTCTCAGTGGACTTCCGATTCAAGAACTTGGGTTTGTCTGCAAGGGCTATGGGGATGCCAGGTTCATTCCGTGCTCGAATTGTAGTGGAAGCAGAAAGGTTTACGACGAAGACGAAGACCAGTTGAAGAGATGCCTGGAGTGCAATGAGAACGGGTTGATCCCGTGTCCAACTTGATGTTCTTCTAGATAATATAATATATATCACCATCTGACCTTAACTTCTTCAACTTTGATGAAGGTTTTTTTTTTTTTTTTTTTTTTTTTTTTTTTTTTTTTTTTTTTTTGCACTTGGAGAGGGGAGCAGTTGCAGTTGGAGAAGGAAGAAGAAATTTTGGACTCAATTTACAAACAGGGCTACAACGGTCATATTGCAAAGGTAGTTATGGAATTATATTAGAAAGTAAACTCACACGCTCCATCTGTTGCCGGAAAGGACTGTCAAGGGGTCAAACTGATCATTTCTGATAGTTAAAGGATTGACTTGCTCGATTTTATAGTTCAGAAGGGTAAAATACTGATTCCGAATACTTCGGGTGGGGGGGGGGTGTGTTTTATGCGTGTTTTTTTCCCTTAAATGTTCTTACAAATTGCACGCATGCCATTCCTGGTAAGTTCACTAAAAAATTTGTCACTATCGACATCTGTCATCCCTTCACATATTTTTTTATTTTCACAACTAAGGATTGAAGGCTACTTCAAAACATAAAAAATATTATAATAATAAAAATTAAAATTAAAATTAAAAATTAAAAAATAAAAATTGAATGCTGGAAAAGTGTAACCTGAATGAACTAATCTGAATCTGAACTGTTTGTTAGGCAGGATAATAATGATTTTCGTTTGGGTTGTCAGCCATCACTTATCATTCAAGCTAGCCTTGGATAGCAATTTGAAAATTTCAATCCAAATTGTGCCCAACCTTATAATAATAATAGTAATAATAAGGATTATTAAAAATATTAATAGTATTATTTTAACCTCATTCCAACCTAATTAATTTCACCAATCACTACTTAACGTGAATCTATTAACCTAATTTGTAGCCTTGCTCTTAAGCCTATTAATGAGTACAAGTCTATACAAATTAAATTTGTGAATAGACTTTCTAAATGGATTAAATCAAAATTCTTATGTGAAACTCACTCATTGATTGTGATTTATTTGATTTTAAAAATCAGCATGCAAACGCCACACACAACTACAAGCATTAAGTTCTGTTAATTTAATAAGTTGATGTATTAAGTATGCTTATGCCTATAATCACAAGGGACGAGTTTATTTTATATTGTCTAAGAAAATATTTTATTATTATTATTATTATTATTTTTTGGTAACCAAGGTCTGGTCCACGTCAAGTGCCCAAGTCTTGTGGACTAGTGTTATAATGGGAAACTTGTCCCGCGTTGAATTCAAATGGAAAGTGAAATAAGTATAAATAGATGGGTAGACAATATTATCCGATAGATTAAATTTTTGAGTAAATGGCCATGCACTCACCTGTTATAGTTGGTATTAGCGCCAAACTTAGTCCTTGATCTAGTGTCTTGCCAAGCATCCGACTCGTAAGGAGGGTGTTGCAGTAAAAGCATGAAAATAAACGGCTCGAATGGTACGATCCCTCCGTCACCCAGAATCAAAGGGGCAATCTCGTAGTTCTTGGTCTGTGAAGATGCGTTGTTAGGTGCTCCATTTTATTTTCCCATTGAGGCCAAACTAAACCAGACACATAGATCCATGGATCCATACATTTCAATCGGAAAAGAATAAAGAGAAAAAGAAAGCATCAGAATTGATCGATATATTTCTCGAAACAAACGAAAAGGAAATGAAAGATGAAATGATCAACTAAGTCCTCTCGGGGACTTGCGTAAGAATAAGAAAGAGGTATCGAATCGAAAACTTGTCCCACATCAAATCTAGATAGAAAATGAGAAACCTATTTCACATCGAATTTAAATAGAAAATGAAATGAGTATGAGTGGGTGTCTAGATATAAGTTTCAGAACAGACCGTCTAAGTTAATCAAACTTGGTCTTGTCCGTTATGTTTCTCTCTTTTGGTATAAAAATGTTTCGAGTTGCACATTTTTTGTGTTCATAGTTTTTAAAAAGCATCTACATCACCTGACGTTTCAAGTGATATTCCAGGTTCATGAATCAAGTCCACCTCTATTATTTTACCACTTAAACGCGTTCGTATTTGAAAATTTTATTTACAGATGTGCTTGGTAATGAAAAGAAAAATAATGAAAAGAGAAGCATTTTTACGCTGTATATATTTTAGGTCACTAAGACCTTTCAAATGAAGTTAAATTTTTCTTGTGTTCTAGATTTATATTTTAGATAATTGTCTTATAAAAAAAATTATTCCTTTTAATTTTTTTAAAAGACAACTCTATTCATTCGTTACAAAAGAACACTTCATTAAAAGTTAAAATTAACACTATTGCTTCAACAATATTGTTGTTAAATAAATAAAAAAATACTTTATACAATGGTTAGTAAACACCTAATATGTCTTTTATTGACAATACTTATAAGAGGTAATAGCTAAGGCAAATGATAGAAGCGCGAACAAAATCACAATAACATAAATCTGAACAAAAAATGCGGTCAGTCAAACTTCTTCGAAATAGTGCAATCGTGAATAACAAGACAATGAAAATCTAACCAAAATAATAAAATATCCACATAACACAAGATGTGACACTAGAAACACTGATCCATGTACATCAACTCTTCTCGTATAGTTTTTCCTATGATATATTTCTGCACTCAGGGTAGAGGTACCAATATCTAATTTTTTTTTTTTTTTTTTTTGGCGGACAAAGATTACAATTTAAAAAAAAAAAAACAAAGAAAAAACTACTTATTACTTATAAACCAATGTTCTTTATAGAATTGATTGATGCTAGTGCTCTCATACTTGTTTTTCATATTTGGGCTTTATCTTTCAAATAACAACAGAGAATAATAATAATAATAATAAACAATGATTCAAATCAAGATTTACCATTCATGTTAACTAACAAGCAATGGAAGTTTGAATTAGTAATTTAGTTTTACGCAAACTGAGAGTGACCAATTTTACTAGAACTAAAATACGATAGAGAAAAAAATGAAGAAGAACCATGTCCACATGTTAAGACTGAGGGGTCCCAAGTAAGTCCCAACCAACCCGACATCTAATTGATTAACATATGAGAATGGCCTCACACAAGGTCCATTAGTCATTTTGGATCTAAGGATAGTACGGATACTTCTTTCGACATCATCAATGAAACACTTTTAAATATATAAGTGCATAAAATATTTTTAAAGTATATACTTATAAATTTGAATAAGTGCAAAAAAACACTTCTAAATATACTTTACGTAACACTTTTATTCATATTTAAAAAAATATGTAAAAAACACCTATAATCTTTTCACATTGTGCAAAAATACCTTTTAATAAAAAAATTTGACATAAATTAATACTGTAATATCCGTTTTGTCCTTTTACTCTTCCGAAAATGCCCAAGGGGTATATATACAACTAATATGATAATATAAGGATGATATGTGTACATTACCTCTTTTTTTTTAAAAAAAAAAAAAAAAAAACTTTTTTCTCTATATATATCTAAATTTATTTTATTTATTTATTATTATTTATTTTTTAACTTTAAGAATTTGTAGAATAAGTATTTGAATTTTTTGAGATTCTAGTTTACTGTTTTATTCTATTTTTATTGTATTTTATTTTATTTTTCGTACCAACATTGATAAACAAGAAAAAAAAAAATTCCCAATATCAATGTGCACAGGTTTTCAGAATTTGGAATAAGTTTGTTTTCTTTAGTTTGCACTTTATTTTTTATTTTTTATTTTGATTTTATCTTTACTTTTTTTTTTTTTTTTATACTTTTTGATAGGGAAAAATATAAACATACTCTACCCTCGATAAGATTGATTAGATTTCATTATCAAGGATAATGAAATCAAATCTGACATGGTTCAACAGGTAAGAATAATCTTATTATAACTGGAGGAGGTCAAAAGGATTAAACCATATTCCCGACAAATCTGGCAACAAATCTCCTATGATTTCGCATAAGCGGAAGATAAGATCAACCATCGACATCGGCGGAACGATTTTGATTCCAATCAAGAACCATAAATAGGGCACCAAGCCATTAAAGAAGGTACGACGTAAAAACTATTATTAATCTCTGCCTTCTTTTTAGACCTCCGTGACTAATTTGATCGTCGGAGAGTTCTTGACAGGCACCACACCGGTTCATCAATCTTCTCCTCTCTTCCTTGCAGGAAAATGGTATCGTATCGGACTGCGCGAATTTCAGTCTCAACACTTTTCTTTTTATTTTCTATTTTTATCTTTACTTGCCCATTATTGGCGCCCTCCAATAGTGTCATTTTCGGTCATTTTACAAAATTATTCATTTTTATATATTTTATAAAATGGTTCAGTAAGGGTAATTTAGTTAACTTAAGGTTTAAATTTGTCAGAGGAACTTATTTGCACCAAATTAAAATTTTAGAGATGTTTTTTGCACAAGAGGGGAGTTCTCCAATAATGTCATTTTACAAAATTATATTATTTTTATATATTTTATAAAATGGTTTAATAAGGGTAATTTAGTCAACTTAGAGTTTAAATTTGTCATAAAGACTTATTTGTATGAAATTAAAACTTTAAGGGTTTTTTTTTTACACGCTTTTAGAAGTATTTTCTACACTTGATCCCTTATAATTATAACTCGAATACATATCGAAAACGATTAGAAGCGTTCATAAAATTTGAATATATATATATTTTTTGGTTGCGTACGACAAGCATGGACATTGGAAGAACACATTTTGGACACTTTGGAATTTGACGAGGTGATTTTATAATAATAATAATAATAATTTTTTAAAATAAAATTCTATTCAATTTAATCATATTATACGTTAATGAATTTTTTTTTTTTTTTTTTTTTTTTTTTTTTTTTTTTGAAAAAACAAAAATAACAAACATTCACCTCTAAGCTCCAAGTTATTTCATTCATGATTTTATGAATAAAATAAAATAAAAATTATTATTTTCATGTATAATAATGTATTCTATTATATATATATATATATCGTGTCTTATTCGTTATTAGAAATTTTTTATATTCATATCGTATTGTTTCCTAAATCTGAGTTAATTCGATAATCATTTTTCCCATCTATTATTATTCACGATTCATTAGTTAGTTATATTTTTACCCGATAATAATATTATTCATAATAAGAATCACAAACTCTCGTAGTTAAAGATTGAATTAAGAGATTTATTTTTAGAACATAAAAAAAAATCATTTGATTTTTTCACATATCTAAATTCTCTTTTTATAATATTAGTAAAAATAATAAAAATTCACAGAGTTTATGAGACTTTTCTTCTTTGTCAAGTTCTCACAAACATATATACTTTGGAAACTAAAATTTCTAGCTTATATAAATCAAAATATGTTCAATCAATAAGTATATGTATATATATTTGTCGCGTAAGTAAAGCAAATTTCCTATTCCACGTGGGAACTCTCCCTGCTTGGAGTCATAAAAGAGAGGTAATTTCCCTTCTCACGTCTCCTTTATAAATAAACTGATGAGAGAGAAAACAAGAGGAGAGAGGGCCAAAACGCTTCAGACTAAAAAGAAGATTTACAACAAAAATTCCTCTTTCTTCCACGCAATCCAAACCCCTCTTCTCTCTCTATTATTCTCTTTTCTTCTCCCTTCAATCCATTTTCCCCTGTTTCGACTTCTCATAATTAACTCATACCCGTCTCTTCTCATCGCTGAATTTCCTTCTCTTTGTTTTGTGGCCTTTTGGGGTCAATTCCTTTACTGGGTATCTGCAGGACTCAACAAAGTTCTACACTCTTTCAGGGTCTCTCTTCGCATAATCGCCCCTAACTTTTTGTGGGTTGCTGGTAAATCCCTAAAAATTTCTGCTTTCACTACAATTTTGGGTTTCTTCTATGAAACTTGTACAAATTCTTATTTTTGTTGTTCATGGATTTTTTTAATTTTAATTTAATTATTATTATTTTTCATTAAGTTGATTAATGTCTTGTTATTTGATTGGACATGGGTTCTTAGATTGATTTCTAGTTGCCTAAACTAGCTCTTTATATAGTAGCTGTTTGTGTTTGTGTGCCCAAAATCTTCAAGTATTGATTATATTGTAGCTATGTAGGTTTTTAGCTTAGAACATTCTAATAATGTGAAAGATGCATTCTTTTGTCTGTTTCAGTACAGTAATTGCACAGCTCAATTATGATGATAGGTCTTTCACTATTTTGTGATTCTATATTTGTTATTATTGTTATTAATTTTTTTTGAAGGGGTGGGGTAAAGAGGCCTTTATTCATGTTCAAAATATAGTTATCATTGTTTTGGTTTTTGAGGTTGGTAACCTTTGCTTGCATACACAGTCTCTGGACTCGTTGGAGTTCCTGTAAAACAAAGCAGTACATCTAAAGTGTTAGTATTGCATATCTTTGATTCAACAGGTAGTAAAATCATATCTTAATGTTACTTTCTTTGGCCGAGCTTGGTTCATATCTGTTTATCTTTGTTATTTTTTGATTTAGAGTTCTTTAGGTTGAATTTGTGGAACAAGATATTAATTTGGTAGAGAGTCTTCCCAAAACTTGACGATTTACAATTTACAAACATATTAAAGACATTGAATAAATTATCAATTGCTCATAGAATTCTTAAAACTGTGGCACAAGAAGTTATTCTTTTATGATGTATATATATATTTTGACGTATTCTTTCTTCGTTTGGGAGCTAAGATTAGTGGTATTAGAAAATTTGATCCAGGGAGTTGGGGTTATAATGGCAAAGTTTGAGCTCCTTATCCTTCGATTTCTATTATATTTCGTACCAAAATTCACGTAGATCCCTCTCAATCAATCATTAAAACCCCAATGTACCTTAGAAGATGTTATGTTGAAGCCAAATGGAGCTGGAGCCTAATCAGAGTACTTTCAATAGAACCATAATTTACTGGAGCCTTCTCTCTTCCTGCCCACTAAGAATTTCAAGAACACTAACTTTTCAAGGATACTTTTTTGAGGCAGCCCCTCTCCATTAGGTGAGAAAATCAAACACCCTGCAGTCTTCTTTGGTATTTCTTGGAGTAAAACCCTTCTAGAATCTTGCTTTGGCTTCTGTTATTTATTGTTTATTCCCGCTTAAAACTAACGCAGAGCTTAATTTCAAAGTAGAAAAGTTTCATGGTTCTGTATTGAAAAAGAACTGATACTTTGACTCAATCTTTAATCAAATTCTACATACACATCTTCACTGGTTTTACTAAGGATTAATTTTTAAATTTGATTATCCTAGCTTCTAATCGGTGCCCATTGTATTAGGAATGTCATGGGTGAGTGCTTTTTGAGAAATGCAACATGTAGATGTAAAATTGTGCATGTATGGTTGTAAACCTTATTCTCATTTCTTCACCTTACTCTTAATTATTTTCTCTTGCCACTTATCTCAAAATCTAATTTGGAAATATTGGGATAATGTAAACATTTAACTGTAGCTTTGGTTCAATGATTAGCAAATCCACACATTTTGTTTAAGTGTGAGGTTTAGATCTTACTCCAGGCTAATCCCCAACTTGCAGTTCCAATGAACTTGAACAAAAATTATAGATTGCATTTTGATTACGCACTCTGGTTATCGCCTAATAAAATATTTAGGGACGAATATTAGGTGTCAAAACCCTAAAGGACTAGTTAACCCATACCAAAGGTATTACCGTAGGAGTTTGTGTTTCATCAAACATGGTTTCTAAGGTCGACTTTTGAACTGCAACCAGGGGGTCAAATAATGCCAACGTAAAGTTCTATTCTGAAGAATTACTTTTTTCAGGGCTGCAACCTTTAAAATTTTGGGGAACACTTTAATTGTCTGATAGGTACTAATTAAATTCAAACTAGGAGGTCATATGGTACCTGAGTAGATATGTACACACTTCAATTTGATAACTCTTGTCCTACGTACTCTTTAACCTATATCTTTGCTTCTTTAATATGGATCAATCATATATAAAGTTTAATATAAACCTTTAAGGTTCATTGATTACACATTAACCCATGTTACATGTTCAGGATATATCGGGCATGTGATTGAAATTAAGATTATATATATATATATATATATATATATATATATATATATATGTATGTATGAATTTTGGGCATGTTCAATATATGTCTGGGAGTTAAAATTCAATTAAACAAATTTTGTTAGAAGAAATTCATTTGACTTGGCAAGTCCTAATTCATTGTTATGAAATGAAACTGAAGATTGCATGATTTGTTAAGATTTGGGTGAGCTATGGGGATAACATGACTTTGGTTTTTATTATTTCATGGCTTTACTAGTGATACTACTATTTAGTCTTATTCTGTGAAGTCTGCTATATTTTGTTTGTTTGTACTTTTATCCTGCTGATCCTCATCAGTAATGCTGTTTCTACTTTCTGAGACAAGCTTCAGAGAGAATAATCTTATTTTTTTTTTTACTCTTTCCAGCACAATGCATTAATTATTCAATCACTTTGGGGAATGGACTGGCTGTATTTGTTGACTGTCAGTGTGTGTGAATGATGTTCAGTGGGCAAAGGGGTGCTAATGCGCTTAACATATTTAAATGGAAACTGGGCGGTGAATCATCTTTGACGACAGGATTGCTTAATGATGTGCCCCCTGAAATTGAATTATCTGATTACCAAAGAGCCCCAAGTCCTGGTAGTGAAAGCCCATCCGGGCTTCTTAATGGTGAAAGCTTGAATGTGGAACCAATTACTGATTTGGACCTGTTCTTTGAGAGGCTTTATAGCTACTATTGTGAGAAAGGGCTTTGGTGCATTATAATAAAGTGGATAGTTGAGCTCTTGAGCCTAGCTTTTACCATATGTTTCTCAGGATTTTTCTTATTGTATGTTGATTGGAATGGTCTTCGCAATGCAAAGTGTGGGATGGATGCAGTTGAATCTGGTATTAAACCCTGTGATCTGTCTAAGGAAGCTCTTCATCAGCATCCGTTAACTCCTTTTTCGCTCTCCAAAGCTATTATTGTTGGGTATTTGGGTATATTTTCCATCTATTGGATCTTCTGTTTTTTAAGGTTTTTTGCACAATTAAGGGACATTCTAAACATCCGTCAGTTCTATTACAACAGGTATGTCTGGATGTGAGAAATTTAATTTTGTTGAAAATAATTTTTGTGAATATTAATGTGTATATTGTGCGTATGTCTCTCTCTCTGAGGAAGTAAGGATCCTGTAGTTTCCTTGGGTATGACCTTCATGTTTCAGTATCTCATTATATATAATATATATTATATATTTTTCTGCAGCCTCCATGTGACAGACAATGAAATAAAAACCATGCCATGGGCATCAATTCTTGAAAAGGTTGTTCATTTGCAAGTTTCACAACAATTGTGTGTGGTCAAGGATCTTTCAGCTCATGATGTGGTGATGCGATTGATGCGGAAGGAGAATTACTTGATTGGAATGCTCAACAAAGGGGTGCTTGCTTTTCCAATCTATCAGTGGGTCCCAGGTGCTGGTCCAGCTGTCAAGAATGGCCCGAATGGTACTCGTAATTGTCTAATATTAACAAAGACTCTTGAATGGACCTTAAGTTGGTGCATACTGCAGAGCATGTTTGACAGGTGTGTGGCATATCCCGCTTAACCCCCCAACAATATATATATATATAATATTAATAATAAAAAATTTGAAAAATTGGAAGTTTTCACCTTTTATGCATTGTTGGTAGCCACACTGTATGCAGTTAACAACCTATTGGCAATTATGGGCACTTATTACATGTCCTTCTATTTTACTTTTGAAATGCGTCCAGAAATTTTGACACTAATTCAAAGCAAGTATCTCATTGATACTTATAGTGAGAACTTTGTAAGGAGATGTTATTGGTTTGATCTTGTTTACTGTTTGATCTTTTCAAGATAGTGACTAGTGAGTGCTAAGCTAAGAAGCACGGAAACGGATACGGGACATGGATACGACACAGACACGGCAACACGGCAAATCGTAAAAAATTAGGGGACGGATACGGTGGGGACACGACGAATAATAAATATATATTATATATATATGATGATATATCTTTAAGAAATTAAGAGTAAAATTATTTTTATCAACTTACTAATGAAAAAAATTAGAAAAAGAATTTGGGTTTAGTTAAAAATAAAGGTACGAATCCATAAAAGATAAGAAATTCATGGAAACGACGAAAAGTATTGTTGTGAACGGAACAAAATAAGTATCGAGTGTTTGTGAAGAGAGAAAATAAGAAGAAGAAGAAGAGGAGAGAGAGACCATCCACCGGCAGTGAACGGCAGCTAAGCTTGGTCAGTAGGAGAACAAGAGAGCTAAAGCTGATCGTGCAAGAGTTAGAGAACTTTTGAAATAAAATATAAGCCTAAATATATGATTATTTTAATATAAAATTGTTTTATAAAAAACAACTTTTAAGTAATTATGTAATGACTATCATATTATGGGAAGTTATTAAACAATTCCTCATAGTTACACTTTAACAAACCTTTCTTAAACACCCCCAAGAATGCACTTATCAAAAAAAAAAAAAAAAAAAAAAAATCCCAAGAATGCGACACACGTGTTGGAAACGTATCCATGGCGTGTCCACAGCGTGCCCGAATATTAAAAAATATATAAAAAATTCAGACTCGTATTTTGGCGTGTCTGGCGTGTGTCGGTGTCCGACATGGATTCTTTGCCCTTTTAGGTGTGTCCGTGCTTCCTAGGTGCTAAGTCTTGAAAGAGGAAGGTTGTGTTGTGTCAACAGCAGATAGTGTAAAACCTTTTAGCCAGACCATTTTTAAACATGGATACTTAATTCTTCTAATTGAATGTAAGGATGTCTAGCAAAAGGGGAACTCCAAAAGGGTTTTGTGCAGCCTACCTCATGTGTTGCGATAACTGGAAAAGTTCTTGTGAGTCCAGTTGTTACATTATCACCTGCCCTGTATTAAGGTTTATTCATCTATTTATTTTTTGTTTGGATGAAATTTTGGATACTTCACTTTTAGGGGATCCTGGGTGAATGTTTTGATTGTTCTCTTTATTCTTAGAGATAGATGATCATTTTTTGTTCTGAATGTACTTTTATGTTATGATTGTTCTCTCTATTCTTTGAGATAAATAATGAATTTGTGTTCTAAATATACTTTGTTTCTGCAGAAACTTTTGTGTTCGAAGGGACTTCGTTTCTAATCCTAAAACCTTAAAGAAAAGGCTTATGGTAGTTGGCCTTGCTATGCTGCTTCTTTCTCCGTTTCTTGTCATATTCATGCTGGTATATCTCTTCCTGAGACATGCTGAACAATTCTATAATCATCCAAGCACAGCATCATCTCGAAGATGGTCAAATCTCTCGAAGTGGATATTTAGAGAATTTAACGAGGTACCTTCCTTTCTGCTCGTCTTTTCCTAATCTACAGTGCTAAATGCAACCTCACTTACACACACACATATATACATATATGAGTTAGGGAGGGAGGGAGGGATATAGATATAGATGTTTGTCTTCTGTTTTTAAATATGTGTGTCTGTTTGGGTGGGTTTTTGTGTGTGTGTGTGTGTTGTTTTGGGGGGGGTGGGGGTTGGTTATGTTGCACAGATTAACATCTGCTATTTGTATTTGAGCCGCGGAAGGAGAATTCTGCGTAATGATTGAGTGATGGTAGGAACAGTTGTGCATAAAATATTTATAAAGTTTAAATTGATGACTTAAGGGGGGGAGGGTTTATAGGTCTTGTAGAACTTTTTGGCAATTTAAATTTCAGTTGCTGATTTACTATTAATTTGGTTAAATTTGCTTTTAAAATAACAAAGATATGCTTGCAGATATCAATAAAGAAAAACATTAAAAGTAACAATAAAGCAATAAAGTGCACACCGGATTTTAACGTAGAAAAGCCCTCAACTAGGGTTAAAAAAATCACGGGACCTAGTCAGGAAAATCAATCAACTATGAAGAAAGTGATGTACAATCAAGTCACAATTCAGTATCCTCGAACACCTAATTGATCTCTAGACACAGCTAACACCAAATCTTTAGTACCCTCAAAGATCTCCAGGTCATCAACTGCTCAGTCTACAACGTTCAGTGCCCTCGAACCTCCTCCTTCAGTTATTGATCTCAGGAATTAGTCATTCCAAACGAGAATCTGGTAGATTGCTCTGAATAGTTTTGAAGTAGTCTTTGAAGCTGGACATCGGAATGTTTCAACACCAGTAATACATCAACTAATCCATACAAGAATGTATGATGAAGGATGCAAAACAAAAGATGCACTTTATCTCACAAGAAAAATACTCAAAACTATATGTAGTATGCGAAGAACGTAAGGTTGTGATTCTTGTGTAAGAACAACTAAAAGTTTAAGAGGTTTTGTAAATATGAATGAACAAAGAAAAGCTCTCTCTGAACAAATAAAAGCTTTCTCTGGTATAGATAACCCTTTGGAGCAGTTGGTTCAGCTCAAAACTCAAGAAGGAAGGAAAGATCTATTAAAATGCTGAGTTCTCGATCCACGATCTATTGATAATTCCCTTGATCTATCGTCATTAACTGACTAACATTTCGAAGCTTAAGGGACAATTCATGATCGATGACTCAAATCTATCAACACTATGTCATAGATTGTCAACTATCCAGAATGCTTAGAATTAATGCTCTGCATACCTCGATAGATTCCAAAGTAGGCTCGATTGACTGTACACATTCCGGGGTGCCTACTGCTGAAGATTTTTAACACTTAGGCTCCATTTGTTTGGATGTAAAATATTTTTTAAAAAATACATATTTTTTATTTTCTGGTGTTTGGTTGTCGTAAAATATTTACGAAGAAAAAAAAATTAAAACCTAACAAAAATAACTTACCCATCAATTTTCGGCAAGTTATCTTACACGTTCTGCCCAATAGATTCGACCTCAACCTCGAACTAGGCCTTTGCCAAACACCGAAAACAAAAAAATAAAAAACATTTTACCTGATAAAGGAAAATCTTTTCCAAGGAAAATCTTTTACTTTGAAACAAACGGAGCCTCAATAAAATGTTAACTTTTTGTTTTTCGAGACCCTGCATTATAAAAACATATATTGATTCAAAATAAGTTTATAAAAGCTTTGAAATTAAGAACCATGAATATGAATGAGTGAACCTAATGGGTGAGAGTACATCTCAATGTGAATTTTCCTTTTTACCCTTTGTTGACGAATTTGATGAATTTATCCTTTGTTGAAGCTCATCTTCATCACAGAGGTAATTTGCACTTAACTCACAATTAGGACAAGTCTTTCTAATTAAAAATAAACCAAAAATTACATTGCCATGTTTTGTTCTACAAAATTTGCCAACATTAGTCCTATAGACCTAACAATTCTTATTCTGAAAAATTGATTTGGAACATGTCCTGAAAATTTTATAAACAAACTGCTGCATCAATTTTAACATGTTCTCAAGTTAATGGTTCACCTTTGTGATGTGCACAACCGGTTGAACAGATAATGTATAAAATCTATTTTCCGGGTTTTGGGTTGAGTTTTAATTAAGTATCTCACTTCTTTCCCACTTATGTTTTATCCGTTAAAATTTGCTTGTCTTCTCTGTTGTGAGTTACATCAAGATTGACAATAAAATAGTGGATGCAGCTAAATTGTTAGCTGATGTTGGGGGTCCCATTCAAATATAATGCTCATTGAAATTTAAACGTGACCAATTCTTTTATGACATGCTTTTATCTCCACGTCAATTGTTTCTTCTGTTATCTTTCCTTTCCCGCGTATAACTTGACGTTTCTCAGCATGTTGTTTTCTTGGCATGTTATCTTTTTGGTAAGTAATCATTATTGTAAAAATATGTTCATAATTGTTAGGTTGTTCCTGCCAAAAGTTTTGGCAGTTTCTCTTTAAAAAACTGTTTGTTAGTTTCCCTATTCCGTATGCATTGCTTATGCATATTCTACTTCACGTATGTTACTTGTATATTAAAATCCTATCATCTGTGTGCTTCAGGTTGACCATTTGTTCAAGCACCGGATCAATAGCAGCATAGCTCATGCTTCTGATTATCTAAAGCAGTTCCCCTCACCTATTATATCTATCATTGCAAAGTTCATCTCTTTTGTTTTTGGTGGCTTTGCTGCTATTCTGATCATTATAGCTTTTCTGGAGGAATCTCTGCTGGAAGGCCATGTAATGTATTCTACTCACATCACCAAATATATTATTATTATTACACCATGTTCATATAGGTAAATGCCAGAGTGATTTAATCTTAAGTTTTTTTTTTTTGGTTTTAAAAAATGCAGATATTTGGTCGCAACTTGTTTTGGTATGCTGCTGTTTTCGGAACTATAACAGCTATTAGTCGGGCTGCAGTGACCGATGAACTTTTGGTTCTTGATCCGCAAGGGACTATGTCTCTGGTTGTCCAGCACACACACTACATGCCAAAGAGGTGGCGTGGAAAAGAAAATACTGAGATTGTCCGGATTGAGTTCGAAACTCTATTTCAGGTAATTATGCTGAAGTGGTTTTTTCAGGTGATGCAAAACCAGAACTGGCTTGAGTTTTTCTAGCAAAAAATCTTAAAATTTCCCCTTCATATATTTTTTTGGTGTGCTAATCAAGTAGCTGTTTATTAAAGAGGATTAATTCCAAAGCTGACTTGTAGGCTGGATGAGTTTGTTTGACCAGCTAGGCTATTTAGCTTCCCGCCTCTATGCCTTTTTTTTTTTTTTAAAAAAAAAGAAAAGGAAAAGAGAACTTTTGCAGTTAAAGATTTCAGGTAAAGTTTTATCTGCTTTTATTAAAAAAAAAAAAAAAAAAAAAAAAAATGGAAAAGAGAACTTTTGCAGTTAAAGATTTCAGGTAAAGTTTTATCTGCTTTTATTAACCGATATTGTCAAAAGAATTGCCAAGTTGCATATGCATGTCGTATATTTCTTTCCTTCACTCCTAATGGAGGTTTAATTAGAAGTCATTATTTATGCAACCAATTAGGTTTGCTTAAAGAATAGTGAGAGTGTGGTTTTACATGCACTCTACAAAGAATGTGCAAGGTCTTTACGCGTAATCTACTGCTTGATAAAGTCCTGTACGAGTAATCTTTTGCCAGAATTGGACAATCGGTAATTACTTAATATTTCATCGCATAAATTCTTGCTGTGATTATTGTGTATATAACCAAGAATTATGACCTGAATATTGCAGCATGTGCACTCTTCTTTATTGCATGGTTCAATGGGGAACTGTGAGAGTATTTAGTACCCCCAACAACAACAACAATAATAAAAAAAAAAAAATAAATAAATAAATAAAAACAACAACAACAACAAAACCCACTCCTTTATCACATTCTCGTGTTTTCAGGGCATAAAGTCTTCTGGCGTGAGTGATTAAGAGTTCCCTTTATAAATTCACTTGGTCAACATGGTTATTATCATTCAATAACTTTTACTTGCTAGAGTTCCTAGCCATTTAGTGCTTGTGTTAATGAGTTCCATTTGGTGCAGTACACTGGAATGATGCTTCTGGAGGAGATGGCTTCAATTTTTCTCACTCCGTACTTACTCATATTTGTTGTCCCAAAGGTTGTTTATTCATTACTTCTCTATTTATTTATTTAGTTTTCTATGCTATGGGTGAGATGGTTTTTGAGCTGAAGCTTTGTCAATGTTGCAGCGGGTGGATGACATTTTGCAGTTCATTGCGGATTTCACTGTGCATGTTGAAGGTGTTGGTCATGTTTGCAGGTTAATATTCTGATTTTTAATATTTATTTTTCAGATGTTGCATTGGTAGTATGGCTTCTACATGTTCCTCCCAAACTTGGCAAAAGAACTTATAATCTGATATGATCTTCTTGCAGCTTTAGTGTCTTTGATTTTCAAAACCATGGCAATAGCAAGTACTGTTCAGCATACAATTCAACTCGTGCCGAGAGGAGTTCCCAGGGGAAAATGGAGAAATCATTCTTGAGGTATAGTTATTGCTTGTGACTCTCTTGTAAGACTGATTAGGAAGGGGGCATAAAACTTTTCTCGTCTTATAATTCATAATTTCGTATGTAAGATTCAAATTATTTCTATGGTAATTCTGATTTCTACATTATCGGTGCTGCTGCCCATGTTGAATCTTCTTAATTTACTTGCAGTTTTCAAAATAGCTACCCTTCATGGGTTCCAAATGCTCAGGGAAAGCAATTCCTTGCGGCTCTTAGAAATTTCAGGGACCAAAAGTTGCAAATGCAGGGAACAAGGCCGTCATATTCGCCCTCTAGAGTGCAGCAACAGTCCCCATCCCCATATTTGAGGGGCCAAGGTGACAGAACCAGTTTCTTCTCAAGGGAAATGCGCCACAATATTCCAGAAACCGACTGTGAATTAGGTTCCATGTGGCCAATCAATACTGATCAGAGGAATTATCCTTATATTCTTGACTGGTATTATACTGCTCAACCTCACCATTTAAGTAATAATTCAGGAGATGTTCCAGCAGGACCTTTTGACGCTGACGAGGAAGGCCCAAAAGACTTTTGGACGCCATCCCACTTGGCACGAAATGAAGCAAGATATGAAGATAGCTGGGGAGGCCTTTTTGAGAACCGATCAGAGAGTCATCTGGAAGCTTCTACATCAGCTCCTTTGTTCCGGGAAAGCGTTCTACATCATCATGACTCGCATGATGTGCCTCACTCTTCCAGGAGCCATTGGTGGGCTAGAAGTAATCCACATGGTGTAGACCCCCAGACAAGTTTTCTTGAGCCTCCAAATTTCAACCACACAACCTCTGATAACTACAATGACAATATATCCAATAGAAGTTTGGAGGAAGAAGAACAGCACTTGGACTGGAGGAGCTCTAACAGGTTATCCCGGACCTACTACATGGATGATTTAGATGGAGGAGAATTTAATCTTCCCTTTGATGATATTTATAGTAGACCTTCGGAAAGCCCCACGAATCCAGATCCTGCAAACTTAGTGTGATCAATTGAGTTTTCAGGTATTTGAAACGTGTATCGGTTTCCAATAGTATGGACTTTGATCTTCATCCTTAACTTAAGAAGGAAGCTCTATATTATTCTTTGTTGTATATAATTCTTTAGAAGGTTAGATTCTGAACATGCATCCACTTGATTTAGAAGAAGGTGGCCAGTTGTTTCAAAGTGTCACCTTAAGCCCACCAAAAATGTAAAGATGGGACCAAATCAGTTATTGATCATTTCAATTTTTATTTGAACAAAGATATTACTTCTAATCTTGGGGATGTTTTTGTAATTTTGAGTTAGGGACTGTATGGATTGCAAATATATTTGTTCAGCTTAAAACTAGGCGGACCTTTTAATGAAGCAGATGTAAAGTATGTAAAGTGGCAGATCCAGGAGATCTGGACCTGTGCCTGGCATCAAAGATTAAAAATTATATTAATCATTGATAAGTTTCTATGTTTTGAAAGCATAGTATGATATTTTATGTTTTTAAAAATACACATTTCTGAATTAACCGTAAAAGGAGGGACTTAGATCTAACACCGTCCAACATTTGATACAATAATAATAATACAATACATTTCCGTCAAAGATGTAACAAAGATTGTAACGTTATCGATTTAAATACAGAAGGCCTATAAGACAATAAAAAATCTTAATTTTAAAGAAAATGTCAAATAAAATAAAGCTTAACAAACATTCAATAGGCATCTTGTGAAGTTGCATCTTAATTTCTGAATATGGATATGGATTGTGGTAACGTTCATTCTTATTGGGGTTAAGTGCAAAAATCCTTGATATATAGGGTTTGTGCATAAATAGTCATTACTTGTTAAAAATGTGTATTTCAGTCCATAAAATTCAAAAAAGGTGCAAATAAGTCCTCTGACTACTTTTGGGTCAAAATTGATATAAAATAAATTCAAAAACCCTATTTTGCCCTTGGGTTGAGTGCAAAAAAATCCCTCTACTATGGATATAGTGCGAAACAATCTCTGTATGGTATAAAACCCCCTTATACTATTAATTTGGTACAATTACCTCCATGTTCGCATAAAAAGATATTAATACCCTCTCTAATATAAATGAAATAATATTTAAAAAATTAGGCAATGTAAAATTACCATTTTAGATAATTTATTTATTTATTTTTTTCTTTGTATTTGGTTGATTGATTTGTAGGTCATGGTGGTGGAGGATTCAGAGGCGGCTGTGGTGGTGGAGGGAGAGGAGGAAGGGGCTTTGGAGGAGGAAGAAGCCTCGGAGGCCCCAGAGGTAGTGGCGGCTTAAAAAGTCGTGGTGGTGGTAGAGATGGTGGAGGGAGAGGAAGGGGCAGAGGCGGCCGCGGTAGAGGTGATGGAGGGAGACAAAGGGGCAGAGGCGACCGTCTCATCGTTGTAGAATGAGACCTCAACCTTTCACCATTAACCAAACTCTTGCGGCAAACTCTCATCTTTACCAGACGACAAACACCAACAGATTCAGACCCTTCTCATCAGTTGCCATCACCGATGACACATTAGCGGCATCCCAAGCTCGCTGTCCTTCACTGTCGCCAATAACCACCAACAACAGAGTTTGTGATGTGGCTTTGTTTGATGGTACACTGAGTTAACTCAACAGATCGACGTTGAACTTTGGCTATGAGGTTGAATTGAATGGCCAGAATAAATATGGTGGAGGTGGTGGAGCGTAGGAGAGAAGGGTAGAATAGGAAAAGAAAATGGCAAAATAGGGTTTTTGAATTTATTTTATGTTAATTTTGACCAAAAAGTGATTAGAGGGTCTTATTTGCACATTTTTTTTTGAATTTTATGGACTGAAATGCATATTTTCAAAAAGTAGGGACTATTTTTGCACAAACCCTATATATCAGGATTTTTTTGCACTTAACCTAGAAATTTATATTAGAGAGGGTATTAATGTATTTTTATACGAACAGAGGTCATTGCACCAAATTGATAGTACAAAGGGGTTTTATATCACATAGGGACTGTTTTGCACTATATTAATAGTATGTATTTTTTTTTTTTTTTTTTTTTTTTTTTTTTTTTTTTTTTTTTTTTTTTGCACTTAAACCTTCTTATTGCAACCATTTGTTCTTATAAACCGAGCCTTGTGAATGAACATTTTAATTTCTGAATTGGAGGATTTTAAATTGAGACCCAATCTATCCAAATTCTAACTTTAATTTAAAATTCATGTACTCAAAAAGAATCTCAATTTAGGTTGAGAGTTGAAATCTTCTTGGATCACTTTTAGGTAATTTTTTTCTTCTCATTTTACCCCTTCAGGGATTCGAACCTTCACCAAAGATAGATGAGATATCACTAAATTACAGGACCCTTTGTGGTGCTCTAGGAGACTTGACATTACCATCTCCACAAGGACAAAATAAATAAAAAAAGGGTTGCGATGATTCATTTAACACCATTGTAATATGCATGTAGGTCATATAATCTTTATAGGTTTTGAAAATCGCTTAACGTTATTTTAGGAGCGAACAAAGATCTCCCCCTCATTCGGCCGTTAATGGAGCGATAAAAATACTAAAATGCCCTTCCTACAATTAAAATAAAAAATAGTAAAAAGTTCAGTTAAAGAAGGGCATTTTTCATATTTAAATAGTAAAAATACTATGCAGTAAACAAAATTTAGTTAATGTAAAAATTCAGCTAAAAAATAATAAAAAATTCAGTCAAAGAAGGAGGTTTTTGGTATTTAATACAATTAATTAATTAAGTGCGAATTTATTAAGGTACTTATCTACGGTTGACTGCCTAAAAGTTTTAACTTACAATATTTTTAAAAAGTTATATATTGAGAGTAAAAAAAAAAAAATTTATTGGTGTTTTATATACACTTAGCCCATTAAAAAATATTCCTTTTCTTTTATATCCACTCCGTTCCAGCTTTTTGCCGAGTTAGTGACTCGGAACTCAGTGGTCGTCTAGTCGGCAAATTTTCTCTTGGATAATGTCAAATCGCACCGGTCGATATCACTATTTCCGCATCACACACAGACTGAAAGCGCCTCTTCAGCTCTGTTGAGGGTTTTTCAAGGGTTTAATCACAGTCGCTACATAACCCAGAAATCAAAATCACAAACCCAAGAAACCCTTTTAGATCAGCCATGAGAAGAGCTTCATCTACAGTTATTTCTTACATCTCCCCACACACCAAATCCTGTTTCTCTCTCCTCTCCAGGGACTTCACAAACCATGTCTCCTTACAGCCCATCACCACCAATGAGCACAATCACAATCACCCATCTCCGACCCATCTCAAAAACTGCAACAAAACCAATTGTTTACTCCTATCAAAGATCAAAACCCAGAAATTCCAGGCACACCCATCTCGAAATTTAAACACCCTTGCGGACGAGGAATCCCCACAAGTGTCCTCAAGGCAGAGAAAGATAAAAGAGAGATCACAACTTGAGGAGGCTTTTGAGTCTGCAAATACCCCTGACGACATGCTCAAAGCATTCAAAGACATGGAGGCCTGTTTCGATGAGAAAGAGCTTGGATTGGCTTGCTTGAAACTCGGCCTCAAATTTGACCAAGAAGGTGAGGACCCTGAGAAGACTTTTTCTTTTGCTAATAGAGCTTTGAAAGTATTGGATAGAGATGGTAAAGCGTCTTTGCCTCTAGCTATGACTTTACAATTGTTGGGTTCTGCTTGTTATAGCTCGAAAAGGTTTAATGATAGTTTGTCGTACCTTACTAGGGCTAATAGGGTTTTGGGTAGGTTAGAGGAAGAGGGTTCTTGTAGAGTTGAAGATACTAGACCGGTGCTTCATGCGGTTCTGCTCGAGTTGGCGAACACGAAGACAGCAATGGGAAGGAGGGAGGAGGCTCTTGTTACTCTTAAGAAATGCTTGGAGATTAAGGAAATGACTTTGGAGAAAGATAGTAAGGAACTTGGTAATGCAAATCGGGATTTGGCAGAGGCATACGTCGGGGTATTGCACTTTAAGGAGGCATTACCGTATTGCTTGAAGGCATTGGAGATACATAGGGAGCAATTGGGGCATAATTCAGTTGAGGTTGCGCACGATAGGCGGCTTCTTGGTGTTATTTATACTGGTTTGGAGGAACATGAGAAGGCACTTGAGCAGAATCAATTGTCACAGAAGGTACTGAAGAATTGGGGTCTCAGTTCTGAGTTGCTCCATGCAGAGATTGATGCTGCCAACATGCAGATTGCATTGGGGAAGTATGATGAGGCCATCAATAGTTTGAAGGGTGTTGTTCAGCAGACTGATAAAGAGAGTGATGATCGAGCTTTGGTCTTCACTTCAATGGCGAAAGCCCTGTGTAGTCAAGAGGAATTTGCAGACTCAAAGAGGTGTCTTCAGATTGCTTGTGGAATCCTCGACAAGAAAGAGACTACATCTCCAAAAGAAGTTGCTGATGCATATGTGGAGATATCAATGCAATACGAGACAATGAACGAGTTTGATACTGCAATTAAACTGTTAAAGAAAACACTGGCTATGATTGAGAGGATACCACAAGAACAGCACGCTGAAGGAAGCCTTTCAGCAAGAATTGGGTGGTTACTTCTCCTAACGGGCAAGGTCCAAGATGCCATTCCTTACTTGGAGAGTGCTGTAGAAAGATTGAAAGAGAGCTTTGGTTCCAAGCATTTTGGGATTGGGTATGTTTACAACAATTTGGGTGCAGCATATTTGGAACTAGACAGGCCTCAGTCAGCTGCACAGGCCTTTGCAGTTGCAAAGGATATCATGGACGTCTCCCTTGGTCCTCACCATACTGATTCAATTGATTCATGTCAGAACCTTTCAAAAGCTTATGGTGCCATGGGAAGGTAAGAATATAAGAAGGCCTTGCCTGATTTCTGGTTTCAGTATCATCACATGACATATTCTTTTTAATTTATTAAGCATGGGAATCACACTGCAACTTTTATTATACTGGTTCATTAAATGTGATGATTCATTTTCATTTTACTTGAGGCTCAATTATTTCTGAATTTTTTTTTCTGGAATTTGTGTCTTTGATCTCATGTTTTGAAGAAACTGTTGGGATAATATGATTGTTCTGTCATTCTTACCTATGCCTTCTGCATTTGTGTTTCTTATAATGATCTGTAGAGTCAAGGGATGTTGGCGTCTCTGTTCTCTATGTAATGATTGTTATGAAATTAAAAATAAATAAAAATAAAAATCCTAGATGACTAGATCCATATCATCAAGGTAATCAGTTGAAAAAAGCTCCCACTCTCAGTAGAATTGTAATGATGTTGATGCTTTGTTTACAAAAGATTAGGTAAATCATTGTCTTTTTCTTTCCTAGTTGATACTCTCAACAACCACCCCCCCAACAAAGGAATTGTTTGCACGGTCACCAAAGAGGAGTCGAACCGTAGACTTGATGTTTCATGAGGCACCAAAACCAAGTGACTTACTATAATAGATGGGTGCTTCGCGATTCGACTCCAAAGCTTAAGCTATTAGGTGGGGCTAACACCCAACCCATATATACCCATTTCACTTCCTATCTGGATCCAATGCGGGACAAACCTCTAACACTTATTCACTTGAGCCAACCCCTTAGGGTATTGTTCTTTTATCTTTTGCGCAAAGCTACTTTGGATATGTAATTTGCCTATACTGGCCTTCTAGGAAGCACTGACACGCCTAAAAGGGCAAAGAATCCATATCCGACACGTGCTGGACACGCCCCGACATGTGTCGGACACGCCATAAAACGTGTCCGAATTTATAGCTCTTGGGACGTGTTCCCGTTTGAACGATTTCTAATACATTTTACTTATTAAAAAAAAAAATTGTGTTCGAATATTTTATATTTTTTAGAATATCCGGATACGCCGTGGACACACTTCCGACACGCCATGGATAAGTGTCCGACACACGTGTCTTATTCTTGGAGATTTTAAAGAATGTTTTAGAAACAATGTTGAGTTTAAGTCTAAATATGAGGAGTTGTTTAATAACTTTCATTAATATGATGGTAATTACTTAAAAGCTTGTTATTTCATAAAACAATTTTATATTTAGACAATTAGATATTTATTCTTATATTTTAGTTCAAACGTTCGAACTCTTGCACGATCATCTTTGACTCTCTTGTTGTCCCACCAACCAAGCTTGGCTACCGGTGAATGGTCTCTGTATCTCTCTCCCCTCTTTTCTCTCTTATTCTACGTCCTCCTCTTTTCTTTCTTCTTCACAAACCCTAAATACTTCTTTTTTTCCTTTCACAATAAATTTCTCTCTTTTTCCTTTTTCCTTTTTAACTAAGGCCTAATTTTTTATTTTTTATTTATTTATTTTTTTCTAACAAAACCCTAATCCTCTTTGTTTTTTTGCTTTTTTCCTCTTTCTTAACCCTCTTTCTATCATTCTTTCTTTCTCCCGTAAAACACATTTTTTTTTTTTCATTATGAGATTGTAAAAAATAATATTACTCTTAATTTCTTAAAGTACAACATCGTATATATAGAAAATATAATTTGGCTTGTCCCTGCCGTGTCTGTTTCCTAATTTTTTAGGATCTATTGTTTTGCTGTATCTGTGTCGTGTTGTATCTGTGTCCTGTATCCGTTTCCGTGCGTTTTAGCTGGCCTTGTTCCCTCACATTATCACGCTATGTATACCATGTTTTTTTACCTTTTGCATAAATCTACTTTCTAATATGTAATTTGGCTATACTGCCCTTGTTTTATCATATTTACATATATTTTTCACCATCGCTATAATTTTTTTGATAGTATTTTACACCATCACTACAGTTGTAATAATAACCTAACATGCCTTGTCCACTCTCCTATATGTATGTGTTCAAAGTGTGCACGCTAGTTTTATCTTTTTGATAACCCGAGCCTGCAGTTGGTAGGCCAAATCCATCCAAGTGATTGAGTTGAAGCTTTGGGCATAGAACGGAGCGATCCGGGGAGAGTAGAGTCCAGCAACATTGAGCCCGAATAGACTTTATATTGTATGCATTCTTACATTAGAAAAAAAACATTTTAGGGACTGTTGCTTGGGGCAATGTTAAAACATTGGAGTTAACAAGCGTGAAAATGTTGGTTGAAGTCTGAAGAACCTTCGTACGAATAAGAGCTTTAGATTAGGTTCTAACTAATTCTACCCGTCCTAACTCCAAAATATAGAAGCGACCACAACTGGGTAGTAGGTGTGTTTGTTTTTGTTTTCATGCTGTTTAAATCTTAGATTTCATGCTGTTTAAAAGCATTTTGTTTTATTATAAAAAAAAGACAGCATGGAAGCATATATTTGTTTTGTTGGCTGTTCTACCATTAAAAGAGAAGTTGATAGTTATATTTGAATGTTGATAAATTTTAATGCTAAATAATGAAGATTTATGTAATTGCAATAAATCAACACTCGTTAAACGAAATTGTGCCCAACAACTCTCAGTCTACCACCTTCCCCCCTAGTACCTCTACCACACTATCTAGTTTCCACCTCAAACCGCCCCCTTCATTACTACCATGATCTTCTTTAGTATTATATTTCAGCTACCCCGTAGTTTGTCTTTTCTATATGGCTCCGTATGTGAGAGAAGGTTATCTAGGCTTGTGTCTATTTTACCACAAACGACTAAAATGGAAGATAGATCAGAAACTAGATGCACTCAATGTGATATTATTAGTGCTTTGATTTGTCTTACTTATTTTTGGCTAAACCTCTTCCTGAAATTGGAGTTTGAAACCTTGGACACAAAAAGATGCACCTTCATTCTAATATGTAACTCATGTGAACAAAAGTGCCCTACTCTAAATGTAGAATTGTATTATATATATTGTAGTTCTGATCCAAATGTAGCTTGAGTTGGTGACAACTTAAGATATGAAAATAAGGTTCCATGTGAGAAATTCCATGAATTTGTTAGCATCCTTGTACGATCATTTGACTGTTCTCAGACTCAAAATTGTATGCCAACGCGCATCAGTATGAGCTTTACTGTTACATCAAGCAATAGTAAAAGTCAAATATATGCCATAATGACATGAAAAGCAATCGACATTAATTGGACACAAGTCAAAGTGAAATCATTGTTTGTGTGCAAAGATCATTCTTGTATGGTTGTATCACATTTACATTGTTACATATTTTGTAAAATCATAAGCATTTCTTATACGGCTTCAACTTTAATTAGAACTTTTATGCTCCTATAATCAAGATATCCCTTTTTCCTTTTCAACCACAAAGTGGAAGTATACTGATTCTTTAGCACTGGGCTAAATTTACCTTCAGGCTTCCAATATTTGTTGCAAGATCTATTTTCCCCCAATTCTGATTAATGAATAATGCTGTTGGAATCTTTTTCTTGCCATTGAAGGTGATGTCATTGGCATTAGATCTTGGAGTTCAGTGATATAATTACCAACTCTTATAAAACTGAGAGGACAGACATGACTTCTATATTGCATCATAATTGTCCTCACAAACATCACATAGTCTGTCCCTGTTTTATGTAGTTCTTACCAGAACCCCACTAATATGGAGAGACGAATCATGAGAATGACCTTGAGCATTGAAGAGTCAGCTTTATTTGACCTTCTTGTTGCATGATAATAGATAGGATATTTTAGTCACCATGATTAATTATTTTCCCTTTATTTATTTATTTATTTTTTATGAACTGGATTTTGTTCTTTTGGTCTGCACATAGTTTCTACTGAGCCTTGACTCCCAGTTATGTGGTGGGCATTCTGGCTATGTTGTGAAAAATTGTTCATGGATATATCCTTCTTTGTTCTTGGTCTTGGTGCCTATTTAATGAACTTATTTATCAAAGGGAAAAAAGAATCCTTGAATCTTAACGAAGGAACTTTTACATGAGAGATTGGAGGTGATGTAATTATTTCTTCTGCTTCATTCTAGGGGCGCCTCTTTTATAATTGTTATAGATGCCGGTAACATATCTTTGCAACCTCTTGTCGCACTGGCTGATGGTTAATTAAGTCTCTTTTGTGAAGGATCTGTTGTATGTGTTTTTGCAAATAAAGTCCTTTTTCCAAATACGTTGTACAGGATGCAAGTTAGTCCTTTCAAAAGAAGTTGCCAAGAAAGTGTGCAATGGGGTGTCATTATATTGGAAAACCAGCCATATGGATATTTTTAAATGGACCTAAAGCCAACCACTTAGGTCTTGTTTGGTAACACTTTGAGTTTTGGTTTTTTGTTGCCATTTTCAAAATTTAAGGGCAATAACAAGTCGTTTGGTAACTAGAGTTTTGCTTTTTGACATTTCAAAAAAACCAAAACTAGTTGCCATTTTATTAAGAAATCCCACAACTTCAAAAAGGAAGCTTTGGTTTCTAGTTTTGATTTTAAGCTATGAAAGGTACTGTAGCGGGGCACTGTAGTCACTACAGTGCCCCCTTGAGTTTTACAGGCCTCTGTCTCTTAAACGACGGAGGCCACAAAGCTATTCTCAAATTCTCAATACAACACACACACACACACACACACACACACATATATATATATATATATATATATATATATCAATCTATAGTTTTCTCACTCCTTTCCTCTATCTCTTTAAATTGGGTTTCTATATCTGCAAATTAGAAAATTTCTATCAACCCTAAAATAGTAACAGTCAAAGGTTTTGCTGTATATTTTCCCTAATCTAATTTGGTTTTTGGTGAAATCCCTACCAAGTGTTCATCAATGGCAGAGCACTTAGTATGCTGCGATTCTGGCAAGGTGCTGTTACTGATTGGCAATGGAGAGTGGTGACAGACGGCGGCGAGATTGTTTTGGCGGTGGTGACGGCTGCTGGCTTGGGTTGGGAAGGTACAGCGAGATGCGTTAGGCTTTGGGTTGCAATTGGGCCTTGTGTTTTCTGGCGATTTGGTCTTTGGGTCTTGTAATTGTGTTTGGGTTGATGATGGTAGGTTGTTATGGTGGCCGACAGTGGGGTTGGGTGATGATGGAGTTCGGGTCAGGTGGTAGGAATTAGGATTTGTTTGGGTACTACTAGGGTTTAAGGTTTTGCTTGGTTGTAGTATAGTCATCCCACACATGATAAACTTTAAGAGAACAATGAAATTTTGGTTACCAAACAAATTTTATATTTGTATTTTAAAAAATTCTACCGCAAATGTACGTTACCAAATGTGTTTTGGTTTGACAAAAATAACAGCACAACTTTTCAAAATTTGTCATTTTCACATAAATGAAAGCACAACAAAAAACAAAAACCACAGCATTACCAAACAGGCCCTTACTGCATCATTTTAATATTTGAATTTCTTCAGTTACCTCTTTCACCTAGAAACCACAAAGTCCAAGACCAGCTTATTATTCTCTGTAGAGACTACAGGGATTATTTTCACTCATTGTACTCCTTACACACTGGTTGCTTGTCTTACTTTTGTTTATAGTTGTAAAAATATGTTGTTTAACCCCATATCTTGGATTGTGCAGCTACGCCCTTGCAATTGAATTCCAGCAACGGGTAGTCGATGCTTGGAAAGGCCATGGTTCAAGCGCAAAAGATGAACTCAAAGAAGCTTGCCGACTCCTTGAACAGCTAAAGACAAAAGCTCGTGGTGCTCTTGCGGAGGAGACTCTAAAGGACTTGCCCTTATCTGACGATAGTGATATGTCAGAGAGTGAGGAACCTGATATGCCAGAGAGTGAGGAACGATCCCGTGCAATTTAGTAGAATTATTCTATAAATTACTACAATATCAAGCACAGTACTGTAAGCTTCCTTTCTACTTGAAATGGTGACGGTTATTGGTTGCTAATTTGATTTCTTAATAGTTTACGTGTAGCAACTAGCAAGTTATTTAAGGTGCCCAAACAGATTCTGAAAACCTACTGCTGCTATTCTGTAAAGGAAAATGATATTTCATACTTGCAAAATCAGCCTGGCAGATGACTCTGTTTGTTAATGGGTACGATTTTTTGCTCTCGCCCATGGCATTGGATGATTTGAAGCCCTTCATACATGCATAATCGGCCTGATAATTAACTCTTTTAATTCTGCTCACTTGATCATCTATTTAATGGAATATGTTGGACATTGCAGAAAGTCACTCTATCTTGTAAGAATGATTCCCCCATGATGTGCTTGAGCTACATTTTCGCTGAGTGTCTCAGCTTCAGTATAAATAAAAAATTGTATAGTACTTGAAGCAAATGGCCTCCCACTTTAAATAATGCTTGCAGGGATGAGATTGTCTGGACTAATCTCAGTAAGCGCGACAGTCGTGTGTCGTTATGTGGACCCTGAATCTGTTTGTATTCAATCTGAAATTTCCTGATGATGTTCACATTAACATGTATTTTTAAATCAAACTTAGTTGCTATTATATTGCCTGCATTTTCATTTGGGATTCATTTGATAAAGTATTAGCATGTTCCTTGAAGTTACCGTTAATCAACCAAAAAGTTCCCATCTTTGCTTGCACACAACCTGCAGCTGGAGGAGACAAGTCAGGGTTTGTAATTTTTTATTCGCGCTCTGAATCTGAATCGCGAAATGGAAACCCCATAATGAAAAGGGCGACCTCGTAGTTCTTGATTTGTGAAGATGCGTTATTAGGCGTTCCATTTTATTCTCTCATTTCCCCCTCAGGTGGCAGGGTTTGTAATTAATTCATGAATATGTTAGAGAAAATGTTTGTTATATTAGCTGATACATTACTTACCCAGTAATCTATAGTATTCTGAAATAGTTGTTTTCCGCTTATCCTTTCCCCATTTTGTTATCCATGTTTAAAACTATTATGTGAAGGGTCAAGGCTAAGAATATGTCAAAGTGGATTGTAATATCTTCAAAAGATTCAAACAACAGAGAGCATTAATTAGTTGAAGTCAATTTTAAGCTAGGTCAGTGACTAGTCAATTAATCTATATGGTGTTCATGGTATTTTTAGGCTCTCCATTTCCAATTAGAAATTCACTTTGTTACCATTTGTCAGGTTCACACCTTGTATATGTTATATGTTGTCTGCTTTGCGCATTCTCTTCCCGTTGCTCGCAATTTTTTTTTACTCAATAGCATTTTCTGCAGGCGATGTGGGACACAACGTGCATTAGATACATGATTTCCAATCTGAGAACACTGAAACTGTGAAGCTATAATCAAACTCACAATCACATCTGCTATTCACTAGCATCAACTCAATTGCTATAAGGAAAAGAGCAGGTTCTGGTCACTCCCAGGAGAGACTTCTCTAGTGTTTTTTATTTATAGCAACTCATTGTTTGAAAAAGAAGGGGTCCCTGTGTCCTGCTCTCCATCATCAACCACCACACTCCTCTCTCTCTCTCTCTCTCTCTATATATATATATATATATATATATATGCATTCTATTGAAAAGAAGAAGAGATAAAGCACAATCATTTTCATTCATGAAGAAGAAGAAATCACAACAGAATAAAGGTAGTATTATCTAGCCGTTGTGGTTTAAGCAAATGATTGTCACCCCATGCCTAAATTTCAACAAAAGTCTCCCTATTTGACTTACTCCTTTCCTTTCACATTGTATAACATCAATCCAAAACTTTGTTTGGAATAGACTATGAATTGTTCTAAACAAAAGAATTTTAATATCTCGTATCTCAAAACCAAAGATTAAGCAATTAATAACATACATTTCACAATTTACAGATCAGACTCAATTGGAAGAACTGCACTTCTAGATCCTCCTCCATGCCTGAACGGGAAAATAGACCTCCGGACTCTGCTGCTGCATTCTTCGCTGTTTCTTTCCTTGCTGATTTGCCTGTTCTGTCTAATGATCTCTTGAACCGACAAGTAAATGTGTCGATCGGCTGCAGAGTCCATAGAGAAAGATCTCCTGATTGGTTGGACAGAAAACTGATCATCTCTTTCTCTAACATCAATGCACTCATCCCCCATTATCGAAACATGATTGAACTTTCTTGGTTTCGACTTCATAGATTTCTGCTCCACCTTTCTTGGCGAATGTCCTCTGGATCGCGCCAACACTCTGGAATCATCCTCTCTCTCTTGTTGTCCATGCGGTAACATTACTGTTTCATTCTCTCCACTCAGCTCAATCACAACAAAATCTTCATCACTTCCCATAAGGCTGCCGGTGAATGGCTGTGGATCTTGAGGTGAAGAAGTTGGTGCTACAATCCGATCAATGGGATGTCGCGTTGTGCCTGAAATGCTTGATCTGCAGAGAGGGCAGTTAGCATTGCTCTGAAGCCATATATCGATGCAGTCCAAGTGGAAGGCATGGCTGCAACTGGGAAGAACTCTCAACACGTCCTGTTCTTGGAACTCATTCAAGCAAACAACACACTTGCACAGGCTCTTGTCTTCAGTACCCTCACCTCGAATGTATTGAAACGTTGGGATTTCGTTAATCAACAGCTCATCAAGGCCGCGATTCTGGAATGAGGGGGAGTAGGCCATTAAAGGGTCTTCACTTCTTCGTGCTCGTGACATAGAAAAGCGTTGCAGTGGGTCGAGTTGCTGCCAGTTCAAGCAGCACTTGCTCACAAAGATGTAGTAGCTGACTAGCAAGAAAGCTGTGGCCATGATGCATAGTACTGCAATGGCTAGTATTGGAAAGCCAGTATCTGAAGTGGGCAATGGGGGTTGATAAGTTGAGGTTTGAGTCTTGATTGGAGGATGGTCTTGGAATGCATTGTTGAATATATGTCTGTGTATTGAACTCATTAGAGATTGGTTTTTGGAGAGAATAGTAGAGAAGAAGAATGAGATTTTTGATGTAGTAATGAAGAAGATATGCGTTTTCACTGATGGGCTGAGTAGAATCTTGAATAGGAAGACACAAGGAGAGAGAGAGAGAGAGAGAGAGAGAGAGACAAGTGGGATGAATCAGCCAATATATTATGAACTCTCAAGTCAAATATTATTATTTTAAATGGATGGCAGTGAATGAGTGGTTAAAGTTTTGTGGAACACATGTAGTTGCAGAGACATGGGGATGAGAGTGAAAGAGAATCCCAAATTGACTCAAAATGACATTGCTCTTGACAGAGAGATATGAGTGGATAATAAATTTTAGTTTTAGTGAAGATCTTGAGGGTTTGTCTACTCAATTATGTTAATCATGTGGTCACTCCTATGGGGAACTATGCAGGTATTCAGATTATGTGTGGACATTGGCATAGAGGACAGTATATTATTATCAATAATAACAACAATAATATATTATTATTAATATTATTATTATTATTTGACTATATTTAACCTTGCTTTACCTTGGACTCTTAAATTTTAAATTCAATTATTTCTTGCATCAGCAAATGATATGTTTTAGTAGTTGCATTGAAGTAGTCAATACATTTTCACACAAAATGAGATTGATGGTGAAAAAATGAATGTAAGTGAGGTTCATGATTGGGTAGGGCTGTAATTCTGTAAATGAGTAGAATATAATAAGTGAGGTTCACTTGTTGACTTTGGGATTCAATTTGAGTGTATAGGTAAATGAGCAGGTTTTATTAAATGCGGTATCCTGTCTAATGCATAATCATATAAACTCTCAAATAATAATTTTTTAAGAAAAATAATGATCGTGCATTGGACAGTGATACCATGTGTAAAATACAAGAGTATTACATACTTTCTCAATTAAACAAGTGTTTGCAAATTAACCGGATAATTGATTGAATAAAACCGAGTCAAATTTGAATTGTTTATTAACAGTTATAATTACATATTTGCACCTTCAATTAGTTAGAGTTATTTTATAGCTTCTGGTTCAGATAATGTCAACTAGATTTGTTCAAGGAAACCAAATTTGGTCTAGATGCATCATTTTCATTTGTCTTTTTAGTACTTATTAGTATTATTCTTGAAGTCATCTGAAATGGATGGAACTAGTAAAGTAAAATAAGCAATAAGTTGCTGGTGCTACATTTTTGCCACGTGGCCAGACAGCTGCTGACCTGCTGACCCATATAGGAAAACCAGTGTCTCTGAAATTGGTGACCTAATGAGGACTCTTTGAGCTTCATGAGTAGACAGAAGATCCCAATAGGAAAACCAGTCCCTTTAGTGGGTATTCTACTTTGGCTTTATGGGTTAATGCCAAAAAATGAATAATTTCATCTTATATTTATTAATTTATCGTTGTCACACACTGGCGACATTAATTTTTATAATGAACTCCAATGAAAAACAAGATTATGCCAAAAATAGATAACTAAAAAAAACAATAGATTTATAACAAATTGTTGTTTTTTAATGCACCATCAGTGGAAAATTTTCTTTCACAAATGGCATAAAATTACATTTTTATAATACAACTACTTTTACACATTTTTCTGTATTGATTTCTGATTCACATCAACATTTTTGCAGCATATAATGATAAATTTGACATATATCAAGGACCCCTCCATTTTAAATAATATAGTTTTTTATTTATTTATAATAAATTTATCTTAATTATATTGAAAAAATTGCAAAATTGCAACTTAAAGTTGTATAAGACACAAAGCTAAGCTCGTGTAAATATTATATGCTTTACATATTCTCCTCTTGTATTCGTGGTTTTCCTCGGAATGGATCCACACCACCCCCTTTTGGACCAAACGTCCTCGTTGGCCTAAATCACACTGTGCAGATATGTGCGCTTTACAAACTCTTCTCTCGTTGCTCACAGTTTTCCTCAAAATGCGTTTACACGATTAGAGAGTGTCCACACATATAGGTCTCAGCAATTTGTCTCCTGGCTACGTGGAAGGTCGTAGGAAATGAGCCAATGTGCATGAACCAGTGGGTTCATACTTATTTGGTCCATAATTGATGACCATGGACAATTTGAATGCGAAGAATCTAATTCCTCTGATTCTCATGAAAACCATCTTGTCTTTGTATGCATCAGTAGTTGGTCTTCTCTCAACTTGTTTCAAATAAAAATAGAAGAAGCTGCTTGAGGACAGGAATATATATTTGTTTATGAATCAGTAGTTGGTCTTCTCTCAACTTGTTTCAAAGAATAATAGAACAAGCTGCTTAAGGAATATATATTTGTTTTACTACCATATTATACATATTGTTGTAGCTTGTGGTAGGCTTGATTATGATGTCAACCTTGCAAATAATTGCAAATCCTTTTCTTATACTTATCTTCTTTGTATTCCATACCTTATAAATATATCCACATTTGGTTTAGAACAATCATTCCACATTTAGTTTAGAAGAATCATATCATTCCACTTTTGGTTTAGAAGAATCACTACAGTTCTCAACTTCTCACCAAAAAAAAAAAAAAAAAAAAAGAGAGAGGGAAAAAAGCAGAAAAAGAAAAAAGTCACTAGAGAGGACTATGGAGAAACTTGTTTTAAATTGGTCGAGTGTTGAATCCTTGCCTGAAACATATGTGTTTCCACCAAAGCAAAGACGAGGGAAACTCATTGCCCCTCCATGCAAGACCATTCCAGTGATTGATCTTGGAAAGGCAGCTGGTCATGATCAAAGCCATATAGTTCAACAGATTTTGAATGCTAGCCAGGAGTACGGATTCTTTCAGGTTTATACATTTGTTTTTGCTTCTTAATTTTGGTAACGTCAAATCTTTATGGATGATTTGTTCCAATATGATCAAGCCAACTCATTTATTGCATTGTAAACGGGTGATCAACCATGGAGTTTCAGAAAATTTAATGGATGATAAAATGAGTTTATTCAAGGAGTTCTTCAATATGCCAGACGAGGACAAGGCAAGTGTTTACTCCGAGGATGATTAGAGTTGCAGCTTTACACAAGCACTATGAACTACGTCAGGGAAGAGGTTCACCATTGGAGAGATTACTTGAAACACCCTTGTCATCCTTTGGAGGAATGCATGCAACTGTGGCCTGAAAAGCCAACTAGATACCGGTATAATCCAAAACCTGCATAACACAACTCTAATGATCAGCAAAACATTTATACCAGAACTGATCATATAATAGTTAGGGAAACTAAATAATGTTATGTTTGCTTTGCAGCGAGGTGGTTGAAGTTGGGATTTATATGCCTGGCATAGCAAATTCCTATTTGGATTACAGTGACATATGTTTCTGACATATCTGAAATATTTATGATTTATATAATTGGTGAATTCAATGTATTAAGTTTTGATTTATTATGGAATTGATAGTGTTCATTTGATTATAAGAGATATTTATATATGTATGTGATGACGAACAATACATGATTGTAAATAGTAATCATAAATTGTTCATAATCGGTAATTATGGATGGACTCATTATTAACTAAGACTTGAACTGGATCCGCGTTAGGTTGAGATATATTGCGAGAGCTGTCATATGTAATTGCTCCCTATCACCGTCATGACATTTGACTCTTAAGCATGAGAGAAGTATAAACTCTTTTATTAATCAGTAATTACTTTAATTTGTTTGGCGGAATCTTCGGAATTCTTATACCGGTACTTTGGGTAATTATGTAATTGAGGGTTATATTTTTAATATTTGCATCATTGCTACTTGTATTTATTTTGTATTGATTATAGTTGATCACAAAGTAAATTCGAAAGCCTTTGTGTGTTTTTAGATAAAATGATTTATTATATATTTATTTATTTAAATAATTATTTTTGTCAAATAAATATTTTATTGTGATCAAGCAGGAAAAAATCAAAGGTACCAAAATAAATATATTAATTAAGTAGTCGGATTGATGGCTTTATTTATCCGATAACTAATTATGCATAGAGAGGTCAAAGTGCAACATTGACTTAGATGTTATTTATTATTTAATTGGAGTTTAATTAATTTCTTTTAGTGGAGTAGAAATTAATTTATTAATTAATTGAATTGGGTCATGGAGCAGGCCAATTATTAATTCATTGTAGCCAATAAAATAATAAGCTCAAAGGATTCTCACTCACAGCCCAACTTGATATTGGAATCCTATTGATTTAAGACATGTGAATTAGAGATTGAGAATGATTTATTGTTTCCTTTTCCTTATCTTTATGTTGCCTATATATATAGATGATCTATGTATATTTTAGGGGTGATTTTTGATACAAGGAAAAAAGAATATATATTTTCTTTCTCTAGATTTTAGGGTTTGCTTTCTTATCTAATGGAGGCTCCCATAAGCCAAATTTTCCAAAGTCATTCATAGAGGCTTATGAGTGATTCCTAAAGGCCAAACCATTACCAAGAAGAAGGAGATCCAAGAAGAACACATCTAGCAAAAGGGATCTACAATAAGTGAGAACATTCACTTTAGAGGAGAGATCTAAGGTTTACTCAAACCTTGATACATCATATTTTATTTTTGCATAAAACTTGTCTCTATGTGATGAATCAAGATCTATGTATGAAAATCCCTCGAAAAGTTTTTAAAACTTGCATGTTTCCCAACAGTGGTATCAGAATATGGTTTGATTCATTACTAGAGATCCATTTTTTTTTATGAAAATCATCATTCATGGATCCAAATTATATATGCATATATATATTTATTGATGTATGTTGATGTATGATTTAATATGTTGATATATATTGATACATGATGATTATGCATGTATAATTGTGAATGGATGATGATGTATGTGTGGGCCATGGATGAAACTTATAGGTTGATTAAATATAATTTTATCTTTGGATAAATGTAATTAAGGCTTTGATTTAGCCATTTGAAAGTTCAATGATGTAATTTAATTTTTTTCATTGTATTTCAAGTGTAAATATTTTTTAAAGCTATGTAATCTTCATCAAAGAATGCTATGAAGCTTCAAGAAGGTCCAAGAGGGTTAAATTAGGCTTCAGGAATTTTCTAAATTTTTTTAGAATTTTTCTGGGATTTTTCTGAATTTTTTAAGAGCCTAATTTAATTTCTGGAATTTTTAAATTAATTTTATGGAATTATCGGCGACTTTTCGGCAGCCGGAGTTATGCC